AAAAAAAAAAAAAAAAAAAAAAAAAAAAAAAAAAATTACATTAATCCACGATTTTTCATCATTACTGAAATTAATATTTCTCACATCTCGCATCCCTTATCGCATGAGTCACTGTGCACAAATATTCATCTCCGCCTTGTGACTCACGGCAATAATCACGGTATCTGCAGTTTCACGTACCCAGTGCCCAAAAAGTCTATCCGGAAAGAAACTTTATAAATAAACTTCAACGTATCGAGCCTCATTGTTATCTGTCGGAAATAGGTTGCGAGGGCGGGTGAGTAAAATTTTGAAAAAAGAAAGAAGCTGAGGCAGAATCTAACAAGAAGATCTTCGGAAGTTCCTTCGGCTGGTAAGTAATAATTCTAAATTGCTCGCCAGCGAGAAACTCGAGTCAGGTTGGATTACGCATAATTCAAATATCATACACGAGCCTCCATTATTGAGTACGGATGCACGTTCCTGTACTCACATACACGATCCGCGTAATCTCGATACACGATTTTACCCGGTACGTTATTCCCTGCATCCACGAGACTCGTAGTCTCTTTAGCGTGCAGTAAACTGGCAATACTCGACTGCACGATTCGCCTTATACCTTGGCAAAGTTTGTTATTCCAGACATACCGCAAGGAATTTACGCATTACACCATTGCGCACTATTACCCATTACACACCTCGTTACGCTATACATCATACGTTATACTGGCCACGGGTGGAAACGTAAGAGAAAAAGAAAAAAGAATAAAAATAAAATATCTCAAATCTCCCTTTTACCACTGAACAGCGGACTCTTATAAGAGCCGCGTGCGTGGCGTATGTGCTACGTTATGTACTTTGCTTCACGACCATCTAATTAAGACTAAGGATAGGCGTAATAAATATAATACACTTGGTAAATACAGATCCATTTCTAAAGGGGCCCTTGTGGGAGTATACCGCAGCATTGATTTATAAGAATTTCATAATGCGTGTGTACATACTTGTGTCGAGTGTACGTCGAGTGCAATCGTAGAAATAAATTATCGAAATGCATCGCGAAGCGTCTGTATCACTGTATACTTCTGCTTCTGTCCAGCTACTGACTTTCCTTCTCTTTTGAAACGCGATGATTTAAAGAGATGACAACGAGAAATTGTTACTTTCACCGAAGACTCTACCCGTGCTTGGATATAACGCCGAGTGATTTCGTTATGCAATGTATCCTTCCCACGTAGCATTGAATTTTTCAAGTGTAAGCGTAACTCGTGCTGTTTAAACGGCGTGTTGATTATTAATTAGGATGTTGGCATTTTTTTTTTTATTCACGATATTCGTCACTTTCTTATTCAGGGTTATGCATCGCAAAGGTCGATTTATGTTTGTTTATGTAATAAATTTCTAATTTAAACGGTAACGAGATAATTGTGAATGCTAATTTATTCGGCTATCAAGAAATCGCTAATAGTAGATACAAGGGTTGGGTCGGCGAATTAGCTTTTACGAGTCGCGTGAGAGTTTTCGCTGAATATGCTTAAAGTCGTTAAGAGCATTCGAAGGAGAAAGACAGTGAGAAAATAGCTGTGTTGCATGATTTTCTCAAGTAAATAACACATATGCAGCTGGCATTAGCGAGACAGACGACGCTGTTTTGATTTATAACGGTGGGTTAGGTTCAAAATTCATACTGTACGTTAAAAATGATCACTCGTATTTTTAGATAAATTCTCAGGCAACGTATTCCAAATCAGACGTCTTTTGTGTTTATCCTTTAGCGCAATTCATAAAGCAATTCAAAATTTCTTAAACATGCCCGCGTTGCTCATTACTCAGAATCAGAATTTTCAATTCCACCTCGTTGCACGTTATACGTAATAGAAACGTGCAATGAATGCACAAGAATTCATCTAAAAATTTAATATATCAGAGTCATCGCACTCCAAACATGTACAGGATGTATAGTCGGTGATGGGCAGCGAGGAGTCTTGAATTTTTGAAGGGAACGGTACTCGACTCACCTAGAATCGGTTGTGTTATCCAAAACCGGTGTCCAGCGCAGGAAGATATACAGCAGGATAAAACAAATAATTTCCCACTGGTAACTCACTGTGGCACTATTTGTAACAGGCAAAAGTATTCGTGACAGTAGTGATAAATACAATGACGGTACAGACAGCCTGGCCCTGTTCTGACACAGATCACTGACCAATTCCACTGAGGACTGACGCGACACTGACTTGCAGCCGCATCTGGCAAGAACCACGACAACCGGCTCCGCGCGTTCGGCTCCTTCCGTGACTCTTCGGCCGTACTCGGCACCCGACTGGCTTAAAACATCGAGCAACGTATGTAAAGGTAAAATAACGTGTACGAAAGGTACATACGCCCACACAATTTTGATACCTACGCTAATGGCGAGCTTGCAAAGACAATTTTCAAGTATAAAATCACATGCTGTTATACATTAATCCAATTGCTTAGGTTATCAACCATTCATATATATATATATATATATATATATATATACATACAAACACATATACCATCTTTAACGGCATTTAATTCCTGGCGTTCCTTTTAACGAGAATCCCTAACACAAAAATCCAATATAATACAACATAGGATTTAGGTCCTCGTAAATAATACAAGCTAACAAGTGGGAACATAATCTCTCGGTATAATGAGGTGGATAGTCTATAATACGTGGTTTTAAATTTATTTGACTCCCCGACAACTATATACAGGCGACAGAGATACATCGAACGTTATGTGTACGCGGATCGGGTAATATGTAAATGCACACATAACGTATGGATATGCTACACATGTATACGATGAAATAGATGTTGTAAGTGTTCACGCAAATTCGCACGCAGATACAAAACCCGCCACCCTCTAAAGGTATAAAACGACTTGAGGTAAAACACCAATGGTACTTGTGTTCTCGGCGGTACTGTAATACCATGGCCGAATAGGGGACCGCCATAGTTGTTACCGTATAGAATACGAGAATGATTCCGGCATAAGGACGTATCAATCGAGTCCATAAATATCAAAGTGTATATTTTCAACGATGGAGACATTCTCTTACATACAGAAAAATAATACTTACGAAAGAGATCCAAGGCCCCATACGATCCCGTATACAAAATGGCCGTAGGGGCCCGTACCCATTGCCAATTTCAAAATGGGACCCTTCGCGGACGTAGCTGTACACACGTATACCTAACCTAACCTCGTAACGAACCCATCGCTTCCTCATGTTGATGTTTCATCGTGGGGTAATTATGGAAATGGTTTCAACCGTTATGGGGGCGTGGGGCGACTCCCCCATGGCACGACCTGCCCTCAACACGAGCGCCATACCACACTCTTTACAATTTTCGTGTCTTCTCATACACGTCCATATCCTCGTCTCCCACCTACAGTATCTATGGTACAAGCAGTCAGATTCCCATAGTGATCCACCATGGATAAACCAAATTACAAGCCATTTCCGATAATACCATTCGAACTTTTAATGAGTCGTATTAAATCATAATCCAATATGGCGGACATTGAAAATTCATTTGATCTTTCTTGAATGTGCCGAATTGTCCGGATTAAAATTTTTTTTCATAATTACTATGAGCTATTATTAAACTTTTCAATATTTATTTCTATATCTATATTTACCATTGGTTTATACTAGATCGGAAAGAGCTGTCCATTCGTACGAGCTCGTTGTGTCAGCATTGTCCTGGATACCAGAAAAATCTACAATGAAGACCCTACTCGATATGGAGGTACGCGCAGACCCTATTTAACAGCATTATGACCACAATTCATGCATAATTTATTTGAAACCTCTGTGAAAAATAGTTTTGACCTCAAGGGCCAGCCAGGAAAGGTGTTTGTCCGACGCACGGCTGCTGTCTGCATAGAAAGTGGATGCCATCACGTTACATGCGAGGGTGCCGAGGTGAGCAGTCTTACGTCAAGTCGCTGTTAGAACTTTTCACAGTAAATTTTATCCATAATTAGAAATACCTATAGCACCGCAAGATACATGTATACAGGTATACTCTAACTATTTTTATCAAAGAAATGCTTTCTTTCAGTTTGACAATATTTCACTGAAGGATTTAAATGCTGTTACGGATCCACCCACTGAACGAAGGAAAAAAATTAGACTCGTTTAAGGTCGCCCGATCTCGACGACGCTGAACCAAAGGTCCCAAGTCTAAACGATCCCTTGGGAAATTATAGGTCGAGTATAAATAACAGGTCTTACCTCGATGGAAGATTTTCGATAACGAGTAAAGAATCGCTCAGCACGCGAAGATGCATACCTACCTGTATACGTACCCAAGTGCACGTAGCCACGTGTCTAATGACTTCGTTTGCTGTTAATCCTTTTTCGAATAATCAAGCAGACCACCGAAAATTTATTTGAACAAATTCTCAAAGTTATTATTATTATTATCCACGTTCCTGTTACGCACAGAAACAGAAGTTAAGGTATTACTGTATTTCTATGCTGACTTGTTAGTTCCGTATACTACCACTGTCACTGTCGCTACATGCAAATGACGTATGAACCGTCATTCGGGGTTCGAACCGCGACGATACTCCCCGCTCATGCAGCAGATCAGTATCTGATATTTATTTATGTGAATAGTACCCTCGCATACAAATCAAACAAATACTAAGTGTGCTCAGAGACTCAAGCCTACCGTGACACTGCCCTGGGCTCGGTTCAGTTGCCACGCGAAATTACATGGCGCTAAGGATAACACTACCGACGAATACAGATCTTCTCCCGGAGCATAAGGAGGCTTCTTGACAATTATAAATAAAAATAATATTGGACTCGGTCAATTGTTACGAAACAGCTGAATTTTCATGCCTGGGTTCTTAAAGCGATGAAAAAATGTTCATTCCAGGAATTACGTAAAACTTATAGGTTAATCGGTACTTTTCAAGCTGTGAATATTAAGGGAGAAAGCAGTATAGGCAACAGAGTCCACAGAAGGATATACGTAGGTATATCGTAAAGGATCAACACGTAGTATACGTACGTTGACGTCGAGCAGTCGAGTAGCTGGGTTAGCAACCTTTATTTGCATACCGTATTATTTTCTGCTTGCAAAGCTGCACAACCGTCCCGATCAGAAGGTAGGTTACCTATAGAAGGTAGAGGCTAAGTCTGCTGCACGATGCATCTGAAAGAGTCCCGTCATCGGCATTGCTGTTACGCCAGCAACCATCTAGCCGTTGTCCACGAAGTTCAGCCGTTCTTACCTGCACGTAAATATTCTCCTCGCCGTCGGCCATCATCCTGGAGACATCGTATTGTGGATCCTCCTTCTAGCGTAATTACTAATTGCAGGCTTCGACTGAAGTCACGGCTCCGGAAGTCAACGGAGCTGGTATAACCTCTAAGCTCGTTGAATAACATTTAATATCCCATCTAGAATCGACCAAGGGTACCCATAACCTTAAAGGACTGCCTATTGATTGCCATACCTTATACAGCATCCATGGAGTACCCTTTACACCCATCCCAAGAGGATTCCACAGAATATATTTCTTTTATTTGGACTAATATGGCGCGAGGATGCGGTACTTTCGTGAAGGACATTACCATTTAAGGGACACGGTGAGCATTTCGTTTCCTGTTTCTATCTTAGAATGTAAACGACCTCACGCTTATTCTATTATTCACATTCATTCGATCTTCCTCATCATTATATCTCATTCAATTCTTATGAATGTAGTAGTTAATTGTACAATAATAATTCTATTAGATATAATTCATCAATATTTACATCGAGTGTACTTTCTCGAATGGGATGCACCTTATGCATGTGAAATTTGAGGCTGAAGACGGGCCATTCAAATTTTGAATTTTCTTTTACAGGATGCATGTAAGCTACTTTACCGATTACCTAACTGATATCAAGGATTGACTTTACATTGATGCACCGTCCAAGTCTTGACCTAAAGTAGCGCTAAGGAGGTCCAGCAATTCTCAAGTTATCCAGTACCTTGTAAAAAATACATATTTCTGTCATTGTGCCAGATGCAATTAATTGAAACGATCGGAGTAAGCAGATTAATTAAAAGAGCCAGGGAGGGCATACAAAAAAACGAAGAATCATAAACATAAATTACAAAAAGTCTGAGGCCGCGGGTCAAGCATTCATTTCGCTCATCAGGCATTCTCATATAAGTTAGAAAGTTCTACTAAAAATATTAAACGACTCTTAACGAAAGCAACGTTCACGGAAGTAACGACGTTCAAGAAATTTTCAACGATTCGTTTACGGAAGACGGTACTCTGACGTTTACAATCGATGAAAAAGAGAATTGATTTGACTGTCGAACATGCAAGGTAAATACCTTGACTGTATAGTTCAATGCCATCGAGTCATCGGAAGGCGTTTGATTCATTCAATATTTGTAATCAATATACCGTCATCGATCAAAAATTAGACAACTGATTCCAAAGAGAATTCCTTTCGTTAGCCCGAGGGTAGGTATCGAACCCTCTTCTAAACGTGAACGAAATTTCTCACACCTTCCATATCTCTTGGTGCGAACGCTTTCTAACGAACGTTAACAGGCCGCGCGAGTGTATCATTAATTACCGTGTGGTGAGAGACGTGAAATCATGCTTAATAGACACTAGACTCGGAGTTCGCAACACGTCGATTCCGCGTGGATAAATATTTATACCACCGCAACGAATACTATTTATTATTAATGAACCCGTCTCGAATCGTAGAATTATTTACTTCCGTCATTCGCTGCATGGCCATCGATTGTACTTGGTTATTCTTGAATTACAATATAACGATGATCATAACAATAACAATTGGCACCTCAGTTGTTCAATATGGCATACAGATACGTGAATTATCCTGGTTAATATTCGGCAACGCTATTAGTACCAGCACTAGCGTGCTGTACTGATGTACATTACGCATAGAGTTATTCAGTAAAAACGCACCACCTGAATATGGTTCTACCATAGAAATTAAATGGACGGGCTAACTTCAGGTGGTGCGTTTCTACTGAATAACCCTGTACAGAGATAGCAGGGTACATTTAGTAGGAAATAAATTAAAATTTTGATCTCGGTTAATTATACCTGCTACAGTGGCCTCTTCCGTGAGTTTGGCATTACCGACGGCAGTGACGGATTCATATTCACAGCAGCTGAGTCTCTAATTACCATCCGAGATATTACTTATCTAAGTCCGCGTATCATTAGTATCAATGAAATAGTACTGGATGACTGTATAAAAGTTACAAGAATGTTAATAACATTCTACCATTAGACGCTGTCGTGTATATTAAATGTACCAAGGTGAATCTATCTTTAAAAATTCGCTACTGCACCGGACTAGGCCTTACTGCGTGTATCAAATGACGATCTTGGTCGATCTAACTTGTAAGTAGAAACTGACCTTAAGACATTAATCGAATACAAATCATTAAATTATCATTAATACCAATCCACAGGATGTATATAAATACGGACGCTCGAGACTAACTGTAATACTTCACGCAGTCATTTTTCTCATGCTTCTCTTGCAGGGTCAAGAAGTCAACGAGCGTAGAAAGAAATTGGAAAATGGCACTGGCCAGGAATTACGACAGCCACGCAACGTACAAAATGGTAGTAATAACGCGAATCGATAGAAATCCTCGTGGCACAGTAGCTGTATCCTCGAAGCAACGTTAAACCGCGACACGTATGATTTTCTCACGTGGACCAAATCTCATTGCTCAAGAATGAAAAAGTCCGGTAGACCAGACTAACTGGATTTCCGAGGAGCTAAGTTAGACGTGGAAAAACGTGCAACAAGTAAATATCCAGCCGGACGGGACGCCAAGCCAGGTCCTTGGTGCCCGGGCTCTTATGATCTGTGTAAGACATCGCCGTCTTATATGCAGTGGGAGTCGCGTGTACCGTTACTATGGTTGGTTAGGTTGGTGGATGCTGGGAGTACGAAGGGCTCGCATGCAGAACTTGTTGCATCCCTCGAGGCAAGAGCCGTGCATGTCAAGGCGTCATTAATCAACGTTATATTTCAGCTGTTTTCCAAGCAGTCGAGACATTCACGAGCAGTCGGGTCCCAGGACGCAAGTGAGCCATTGTAATCGCGTTAGCAAGTACTCGCTGCAACATCATCATTTCACGTAGGATTTACGAATCTCCAGCTCTTCTCCAGGTATATCCAGTAGACCCTTCCTAAAACAGTAGACCATTAATTAAATGCATAATAAATTTATAGGTCTCCTACCTGAAGGAACTTCAACGAAATCGACTCTTCCTCCTGGGTATATATCCCGGTTGAAATAACTTTCCTCTTCTCTGATCCCAATGGACTTTATCCCATAAGTCAGAGTCCTGTGATATCATTGTAGCGTCGTATCCCGGGATGTGAGACCAAGGAGTCAACGTGGCAGTGTAATAAATTTCGGTATTTAACCGTAGCCCCGTTGTCCGTTAGCTGGCGACGTGCATCGCTGCCAGTGTTTATGGATCCTGGAATGACTGAGGCTGAAGGCACAAAACTCACTGACAATCCCTGAATCGTATTTAACTTGCTGACGCCGTTGGTGCAATAATAATTATGGGGTAATTGCGACCGAAGAATCTTGAATTCACATGAGAGTCAGGAGCAACCCGCGTGCACAGAGGGCTCTTACGTATACCTAGAATAAAAAGCAGACGAGGAAGCCATCGTATTCTCTTCCATAGTGCATTTCAGTGCCAGAGTTCGTAGAAAAGTTCCGCGTAGGAAATATCCTAGAAATGAATTCCCTGACCGGTGAGAAGAGCCACGACTCTCCCTTGCAATCCACGTCCGCGTACGAGTACAACGGTACGGTACAGGTACGAAACAGTTTGGCATAAACTAACAAGGGAGAAATTCATTAAATCGAATAGTTGATTTCGGTCTTTATTCAATTTTTTTTATTCATTTCCGGTAATTGAACTAATCATTTTCAACCGAACGTCCGGTACGTTCTGAAGCCTCAAAATTTAATTTTATAACTTCATTCAGAGAATTCGAAAGAACGTTTCGATACTTGGATACTCGATGGTCCGTGACGTAAGAGCCGTTTAATAAAAATAAAGCGTATTGTAGCCTACTGTACCTGCTTTTCTTTTATCCAGTTTTTTTTTTATCTTTTTCTTTACCTCGTTCTTAAACTACCGCACGAAAATTCAGCTGCCATGATCTGTCTGTGAATTTCTTGGAATAACCATCTTCGGGTTCCTATTGGCAACTTACGATTTGTCTTTTGGCAATCTGCCTGTCGCACTTCCTTCAATCTTGATTTTTATCATTTACCAAGAATACTTTCTTTCCTTCACTTCCCTTTAGACTTTGAATCGTTTCCCATCTTTCAAGAATGCTTCCTTCTTTTATCTACGAGTTCACAGTCGTTATGTACTTGCTGTGGGCAAAGGATAGCACCGTCTATCTACATGAATAGTACTGCGAATACGTGACTATCTGTGGATACTTATGTCTGCTCCGGCACGATAAACTTCACTCAACACGCAATACTTCCGTTTGTGATATCAACTTCGGTTTCATAAATCTTTTGTTAATCAGAGAAAACGAAATTCTTAAAATTTCATTATCATACATAGCCACGTAGAGTATAATTATAATCTTGAATATGAAAATAAAAAAATGAATCTTTAATACACGGTACAGTAACTTTTCTTAAGTATCAATTGTGTACGTAGCCTAGTGTTATGAAGCATCGCGTGCTGGTAATACAATATATACTGTAAAAAAAAGTATTAGGCGGTTCTTAATTTTCAGTTTCATTCAAAGTTCAGAGACCTGTGGATTTGCCTAATCGACCGTGCCATGTGAGTAAAAAGATACGATAAGATGGAAAACTGGTTTTAATGGGTTCAACTAACTAAAAGACGATAGCCGTTCGGCCATTCACACGGCGATTGTTTTTCATGCGCGGCTAGACACGTAGAAACGTGTTGGAAACCTTCTCGATGACTCGTACTACGCATCACGTTACAAGAATGCACGCAGCTTCTCATTTCCTCGTACCTGTGAATACTAGCCTTGCATAGGATCTCTGAAATATTCCTGCGAGACATCAGATATCAAGTCAGTCAAGCGTAAGGTGTGCATCAAAAATTTCATTCTAGTCAAACAAGCACGATGCTAATGCGCTGGCTAAATTCATCGACAGAGTGCTGTATATGATATTTATGAAAGAAAAAGAAGAAGTAATGGTTGTTGCGCACTGTTGGTTAACGATAACATATTGACAGGTTGATTAAAACATAATTTATAGACTTTAGGTTCGGAGGACATTGACTTGGATATCGTGATAATATATCAGTATATTGTCCTGTTAGTATTTTTACTCGGTCACGGCATGTTAACAGGCATTTTTTTGAGGTTATGAAAGTATTAAAAAATATACGCATGCCTATTGTACCTTATACATTGTACTTACTTGGTCGGTTAAAACTCCGGAATTGTCAACGTTCCGAGTAAATAAATAAATGTCCGCCCTATTACACACTGGTCGTGTATATGTATACATATGAACTTATCCACCTCAAGTGCCCACGCAATTGTACCGTGCAAACTTGTGCGCGGTGCACACCGTCATATTTTCGCACCTGTCACATTAAATGTACGTAAAGGTTAAAATTGTCTTCACCAGACGCAGAGAACCGCAAGCCAATTCAACCTCAACTCACCCCGTACGGTTAATACGCGCCAATCTTAACTTCCCTTTCAGAGTTTTCATACGGCTGGGAACAATTAACTGTACTTTCTTGTGTCTGTACATTAAGGCGTGAATTTAAAAATGCTGATGTATAATACATATTTATAAAACGAATCTTTTGCCTGTAATATCGGCACAGCAGACTCTTTTTTTAAGCGTGAATTTTCTTCCGGATAGTACTAATTTATAGAAGCACAATTTGCTAGATTTTTTAATGAAATATATGGATTATATTCTTTGATGTCTGTTCAAATGAAATTTTTTTGGTTAATTAATTAATTCTTTAATTACTCCTTGACTCGATGTAATAAATATTTGTTATGTATTATTCTGCAAGAAATAGTAATAATGATATGCTATGAAGATTGTAATAATCAGTAAATTGCAGATACTGTAAATAGATAATTGGTAGCAATTAAATTTCAGGATTTTTAATTAATAAGTTACTGCGTGAGAACTCGTACTGCAATTTATATCTTTAAGGCAACATCAGATGGCACTACTTGCTGTAGTCCAGATGACTTTTCTATCTTGTGAAAATTTACGTTCAAGTACCTTCAAGACCTCAGCATTTATTATTGAGGTTATGTTATGTTATATTTGACATGTAGATACTGCGGATATTGGAGAAACATTAATTATGTCTTTATACGATGATTTTGATAAACATCGAGCATCGGACAAGGTTGCTGGTTGGTCGTCTGGAATAAAATTATTGCAATCCCAGTTACAACTGAAAAAAGCCGCCACCACACAGGTAATATCTTAGTTCAATAAGAATATCAATGTTTTCATACTGATTTTTATATTTGTTCATTATTATATTGTATTTTCCTGACTTTTTTAATTATAGCCAAAACGAGAGCAATACAGAAAAGCTGCAGCTGTATTAGCTCCTGTAATAGATTTAAAGTCAAAGATAAATAGGGATGTTGATAAAGAAGACGAACAACAAACTAGTAATTCTTTGGGAGCTAGTGGTGGTAATAGTATTACTGTCGGAGGGGAATTTGATTGGAATGTTGTTAACGAATATGATCCAATGTGGCCAAATGAATATGAAAAAGTAGTTAAAGAGTTACGTGATATTCGTGACCGTGAACATGATCAAGAAACAGAGTTGCGTAAGAGGAGACGTGATAATACACGTTTCGAAGATACTCAGGTAATAAATACTAATAAATCTTCTGCGCTTAGAAATTTATAGTATTATATCAATTCCTTTCATCTTAGGCTACTCCAGGAAATAATACTATGGTTGCACCTGAAAGAGACGAGGAAAGGACACCTACGTCAAGGGGCATTGCTGGTGGTGCAGCCATAGCACCACCACCATCCTTACAAGAATCCGCAGACCTGCCTCCTCCAACATTACGAGCACAATCTTCTAATATGGGATATGCTACATCCTCAGTAGCTGCTAAAATTATGGCCAAGTACGGTTTCAAAGAAGGTCAGGGTCTGGGAAAGAAGGAACAAGGCATGTCAGTGGCACTTCAAGTCGAAAAAACAAGTAAACGCGGTGGTCGAATTGTCGGCGAAAGGGAACAATTAATGCCACCACCACCGCCTGTTGCCGTCTCACCACCTCCAGCTGTACCAGGGCAACAATCGCAAGTACAACCACAACCACAAGAAGAACCTAGTATTACAGAAATCATGAAATCCCCTAGCAAGGTATACAGTACTATTTATTACATCATTTACGTAGATAACTTCGTATTAGAAACCTGTGCCATTTACATAAATAATTTCAAAAAATAATGCAATATATTCTATAGGTTGTTTTGCTGAGGAACATGGTGGGCCCTGGTGAAGTTGATGAAGACCTTGAACCTGAGGTCAAAGATGAATGTAACACTAAATACGGTGACGTTGCCCGCGTTATTATTCATGAAGTGATCGATGCACCTGCTGAGGAAGCTGTTCGAATTTTTGTGGAATTTAAAAGAATTGAGAGCGCCATTAAAGCTGTTGTAGATCTAAATGGGCGCTTCTTTGGCGGCAGACAAGTGAAAGCAGGCTTCTACTCGAGCGAGAAGTTGGACAATTTACAACTTATGGATTAATAATATGTAGGCTTACCAATGACGCCTGATTAGATTACTATACAGTGGGAGTAAAAGTAAATTTTCTTTTAATTATATTTTTCTTAATGATCCAGATCCGTTTATCTGCTCTTACCTTCAACTTTACAAAAAAAAGGGGGGGAACAATTAAAGGTAATAGTGGATAGAAAAGACATGAGCACGTGGTAATTTAAAGAATAATTTTCAACTTTAATGCATGAATTACAAAACACGAGTAAGCAGATCTCATAACACTTCAAACTCTTTCGTTTATAACGAATATGTTACATATATCTTTTTAGTATATTTTCACTCACAATTTATTTTCGTACAGTACAACGTAATTGTACTCAAAATTGTTCCCATGATTTGTAACAATTTTTAATGGAAGATATACGATAGCGACTTAGAAAATTAACAAAATGTTTTATAATTTATATGGTTAGAATGGTGAACAAAATGAAACTGGAAGTATGCTCTGCATAAAATCGAAAAACAAATATACAAATGATATTTACCGTATCACGTAATAGTATATAACTTACTATCAACCAGTCAATAATGAATTGAAGTAACAAACAAAACCTGATTAAAACATTAAGCACAAATGGACCTTCTTTATCGGACACGAACAATGCAGCATATAACATTGAAAGAACTCTAGTAACGTACAGAATCACATTCTTAAAACATACGAAAGTAAATTATGTAAGGTTTCTTTAAAAAAGTGTATTTCCTGTACGATTTTCTTATAAGATATATGACAGAAGAGTATTCACGGGAGATCATAGTGATATGTCATATTGTTATGGTAAAAAATATGCTGCTTCTTCTTCGTGTTCAATACAATCTGATTTTACTATATGCAACCTGGAGGTGGAGAATTAAGTAACAGGCATACTTGGTGCAGTAAGTTCTTGAGTATAGCTGGTTGATTATCAGAGTTCTGAAATTAAATTAATAGGAAGGTATGAAGTAAATAAATATCATGTACTTTGGAAATTTGACATTAACGAGCAAATAATGCAAAATCTTGTATTGAAAATTTGATTTACCTTATCTAATGTAACAGTAGGGATAAAACTGACACCTGGTTTCAACGCATGAGTCATTTCACCATACATAGCTAAAAGATTTTTCCCTTTCGCATCATCAGAACATTCTTGTATTTGCTGATAGTCCAATTCCATTTGTTCAGCACATGTTTGCATTATATCAACAGGTTTAATATTGTTCTGAATCATACATGATATATATTGCAGCTGCAATGATGGATCCTTAATAATATTAATGGTACAAGCATGTATAATATTAGCCTGACACTCAATGGGTCCATGTTGACATTCAAATTCATAACCATTGTCGGTCTTGACAGTCTACAAAAAAAAAAGAGGTTTATATAAGTTGATTGGTAGTAACGTCTGCAAATAAATATAAACAAAATTATACACTCTACTTCAGCTATTGCAAAAACTATCTTTGCATATTAATTAATAATTAAGGACCATTATTAATTTTTCACATTTGATTTTCATGGCTTATAATCAAAATCAATACATAAGACTTGTAATTTTTATACCTTAGCTTTTCCATATGGAACCAGTTCTATTAAAACATTTTGTGGTAACGTTTGGAATGTTGGCACCAGCTGTTTAACTACAAAACTCCTGGAGTCTGGACAGAGAGCTTCATAATATACAGTCACAAGAACTTTTTGAGTTTTGGAAGTATCTCCTTTTCCCGCTACTTCTTCAGCAGCTTGCTTTACCTGTAACTGCGCTGCATAAGCCACTTGTAATATTAGAACACCACACACATAGAACATAAAATATCTCTGGATCTCTCATAACAAATTTGTTGAAAACAATGCATAAGGAATATTCCAATTTGTCGAACTTGTAGACCATATGTAAACTATGTTATACAAGTAGAATATCAATCAAATCATTGCATAATTAGTAATTCAATATTAATCAAAGTAAAGTATCAAGTTAATACAAAACTACCTGCAATATACATTACAAAAATACAGAAATTTGACCAGCTGTTATACTCTCGTCAGTCGATTTAAAAAAAATAAACCACTAATGTGAAAGCCAAAGTTAATAACATTAACAGAAACGAGCGCGTAAGCATAATAAGTATAATTTTATTCGTAGCAATTGTAGGTTAACAATAAGAAATTACCTCCTGTATTGTAGAGTCTTGAATGGACGGCGACCAAAGTTTTATCGATTGCCAAAGTAGCAAAAGTACGAAAAATGCTACTAAGAGCCTATATCGAAAACTACCTAACCCCATTATTTACTATATCGATATAAAAATCCGTTATAACAATATAAACGTAAAGCCACAATCAACAATATTTAATCGACTAGCAAAAGTGATGACGAAATGCTTCTATAGTGAAAACGTTCAATATCTTATCATTCCACACATCATTAACTTTTCTTCCTTATCCATCCCATTGTACCTCACATGGCTGTATTGGTACTGACAGCACTGGACAGCACTGACACTTTTGGTTAACATCTGCAGCATCGTTGTTCGCCATGCCATATTATACATTGACTTTATGAATCTTACAATTAGTAAAACAGGAATCTTACGTTCACTAATTTTGATTAATATGTTATACTAAGTATTATCTATGATTAAATGGAGAAAAGAATTATATGCTATTGATGATAGAATCTCATGTAGAATTATAGTACAGAGCCACACCTAGTGATATAACTAAGTACTTTCTTCAAATGTTTCAAAATGCCAAACAAGTTACTGTTTATAGTAAAAGACTGACACTATGATTTCACTAGTATATTCGATGAATATGTAACAAAACAGGATTTACTTGGTTACGAATAACGTTATGGAGACAGTCAGAAAGATTCGGTCGTAAATCATATATTTCGGAAATTTCGTAAAAAATTAAAAAAAAAACATATCTTTTGTAACTATTTATATACGATTTTTGATCATTTGAATATATCTAAAAAGGCTCAAACTATCACGATGCCACCAAAAAAGGATAAGGGTAATCAAAAAGAAAAAGGTAAGAAAGACAGTAAAAATAAAAAGGATGAGAAAAGAAGAAAGAATATTCCAAAGAGAACATGTACTGCGTGAGTCACTCTTTTCCAAGAAGTTACTACAATCGTTTTTTGTAAATATAATACTAAAATATTATATTTAAAATATCAATACTAGGCCTATCGCACTTGGAGAAGTAATGGCTCAAAGAGTTTTACCACCGACTGTGTGCTGTCCACCAGCTGGATGCTGCGTTTCTTATTGTCTTCCTGGACCAGGCTGTCGACGTTGACAATTTTACAATATAAAGTTCTCAAAATATCCGGAATATTTATACGAATGATTAAATTATCAAACAATTGTATATACCAAATATGAAATTATAGAACTCTTATCACTACGCAATAATTCTATTGTGTATTTTGGAATTACATTTTAGCATTACAATTTGGTTTGAAAGCACACAGCGTTACTGGTGGTAGAAGATCGCCCGGACAACCACAAATTGGAGTAGAACCTATCAGATATAAAATGTGGAAGTATTATTTGGCTAATCCTAATTAATTATTATATATGTATACTCACTAATGGGAACTGGAAAGAATGGTGGTGGACTATAGGTAAGCGGTGGAGTTGGCAAGACATTACGAGCTTCGTATTTTACTCCTCCAAATTGAATACTAGTAGACAAATTTGGAATAAATTTATGGGGTAAACCATATTTAGTAGGACAGCTAATCCATGGTGAATGATCGTGACTCACGGTGGGCGGTATACATGAAAAACTATAATATGAAACAAATACTTCAAGAACCAACCAGAATTATATTGGCACTCTCATGACTCTTACCTCATCTTATCTCAAAAGAACGACTAAAATTTTAAAAAATGTTCCGCTTTACATAACCTCTTACTTTTTCATCCAAATAGAGAAAAGGTTAAAAATTTAACAAGTGACTCCTACATAATCGATGCTCATCCACACTGTATTTTGTTAAATATTTATATCCGTCAATGTATGATCGAAAATTTTGAGTGTTGAAACGAAAAATTAAAAAAAAATCCTATAAAAATGCCTTGTACTATGGACTATTCAAGGGGATACGGCACAGGGGTTGCTGAGGCGATACATAATTGGGGTTTTTCAAATGGAGTAAGTAACGAGGGCCAAGAAATGCGCCGCTTGAAGTGTCTCTTCGCTAAAATGGATTGTCTGTGAGTAAAAAATTAATATTTCTTAAATTTTCACTGATTATAAAACAATTTTCTTTTGCAGGCGTAGCAATGCAAAAGCTCCTCTATGCGTGAGATACGATTGTCGAAACGATCCAGAGGCCTGGTACGTGAAGCCAAGTCCACACGAATGTAAACCAGCTTGGACATTTCCATCGAAAAGACCTCTTATCACTTACAGTTCTACAGCTGACATCATAGTAGTATCAAATTTATTAGCCGTCGGTGGAGATCTGGCATACCCGATTCCTGGACGTAGTTATATGGCACAAGGTGTAAGTATTTCCCTAGTGTTAAAGACCACCGTGGGTAAACCCGACGATGCCCACGGTCGGTAACACGCGCCGACAGAAGGCAGAGCAGGGTTCTTGGTGGCGCGCGGGAGAGGAGGACCGCCGGAAGGAGTCCTGTGTTCGAAAGTGATAGCGAAACCCGGTAGACGTACGAACCGCGAGTGAGATTGAGTGAGATAAAAGCGAAATAGAGAAACGATACGGATCACGAAAGTCATCGACCCGCATCGAGGCAACGGCCGGCGGATCGAAGGCGATCGGGGCGCGAAGCGAGACCTGTCGGTTCCCTCCGTGATTAGGGATTCGTATCAAAGGGAACCACGAGGCAGGGGGGTGACGAGACCCTTCGCAGGTGCGAAACACCGACGGGTATCTAGCCATCGAGGGCTAACCGTTAGGAATTGTAAACGCCAAAATAAAGGCAATTACGTACTATCATATCAATTACCCACCACGTTTCGCTTCTCTAGCCGGACGACCGGTATCCACGCCATAAAACTAGAGAAAATTAAAAATTGGACATGTTGAAGACACCGATTATTTCTTTAATGAACATACTTCGTTTCTTATTACAGACGGATAAATGGTACAGAAGAGGACCGGATTGCTGTCCTCAACCCAGTTGTTTGGCACCCCAGTGTCCTATACCACGTTGCTGTTGAAGAATTGAAGATTTTTATGACAATATTTAATTTCTCATCTATATTTACAGTAGAAACAAGAATTATTGTGCTGTGTATCCTGTTTATTTCTTAATAAATTTATGCATTTTCTTCCTTATTGTTGCATTTTTGGAGCCGAATTACATAACCTCGAAGATCCGTCAAATTATTTATTGGACCTACAACATACTGTAATTAAGTGGAATTCATTAATTCAAAATTGCTATTGAACTCGTTCTGGTATTTTAATAATTTAATTATGCAAACTGAACTAGTAAGTTTATTTGTTTAGGTTGGCAAGAACGATTGTAACTTGTTATTAAAAAGACAGTAGTAACGTGAATATGGAATAAAAAATTTGTAAACTGTCACAAAAGACGACTACTTCAAATTCAAAATTACCTCAAAACCCTTTGGCTGATTAATTAATTTATAAAATATCGTAACTTTCGACCGATTTAATACACTGTTAGAGATGCCACCGAAAAAGGATAAGGAACAGAAAGATAAAGCTGAGAAAAAGGGAAAGAAGGGCGAGAAAGGGGATGCCAAGGGTAAGAAGAAGAAAGGTCTTCCAAAGGGTGCAGGAATGGGTGGAACTATAGGCATCGTTGATAAACCAGTTAAAATTTGCCCGTATGTATAACGATTGTGCATCAGAAATGCACATTAAAATTGTACAAAATAATTTTTAAAAAATTTTTTTAATGACTTTCAGGCCACGCGGACAATCTTGCCCTCCTGCAATGTGCTGCCTTCCACCCCCACCACCTCCTTGCCCGCCAATATTATGCTGCCCAATGCCAGTATGTTGTCCACCATCAACATGCTGCCCACCCCCGTCCTACCCAAGACCATACTAGATAATAATGAAAAATAATTTTCTGTATCAAAAATTCGGGCAAAATTAATAAACACATAAATAATAGATAAATATATTTTTTTATATTTTGAGGACAATTGAGTCTCGATTTTTGTTTGTTTATTGTCATGGAATGATTTCTAGAATGGAAAAAAAACAAGTGAATAATTTTCAGAACACATTCGTACCAAAAAATGCTAACCTGAATTCGGAGTCTTTAAATTACCTAATAAAAATTCGAAAAATTCTAAATTCTAATATACAGTATACAATTTGAACAATATTTCATTAAAGGAACTCTCTTCTGAAAATGGCAGATAAGAAGAAGGAAGCAAAAGCGTCCGATAAAAAGAGTGAGAAAGGTGGCAAGACCGGTAAAGGGAAATCAGATAAGAATAAGAAGAAGGGAAAAATCATTATGGGCGGTACTATAGGATTACAAATGAAACCAATCAGAGGCCAATATTAGTAAATACAAATGTTCAAATATTCATATATAAATTTTATAAAAATTATTATTAATTTCTAAAAATTTTCAGTAACGTCGTTACTTCCATCGATGCGCCAATGACGTCACAACCACCTACATGTACGTCATACAATAAACCTCCAATATGCTGTCCACCTACTTGTTATTACCCACCAATATGCTGTCCAAGACAACCAAGAAGACGATGCTGCTAATGAAAAACGAAATTCAAACTTTACATCCGATGTAAAATTTTATCAATATTAAATTTCAAAAAGTAAATAAAATCTATAGTTATTTCATAAAAATACTTTAATCGGTAATTTCATATAATTTTTAATCGACTATGAAATCATCTTAGATGCTCTTCTGTATGTCATCTATGAGAACTAATTAAAAAAAAATGTACAAATGATCAAAACCATCAATAATCATTAAACAAATCATTAAAAAAAGCTTCAGTTCCTTTCTCACAATATTTGCACGTGCAATTGTTTCGACCTAGTGCTTTTAACTTCTTAACCTATCATTTTATTGGCTGTTTATTGGCTGGCGCGGCCCAAGCAGTGAAAAACAGTTGTAGGCTGCAGACAGCTGAATGTCTGGGTTCCGGGTTGAGTGGTTGATTATCATTTCGGCAATGATTTAAGCTTGGGGTTCAAAATTATACTATAAATGACCAGATAAGTAAATTAAAGAGTGACGACACTGATTCAAAATATTCGACATAAAAATTTTCAAGAATGGCAAGTATCAGTAAAAATTACGCATTGTAGAACAATACAAAGATAAGTAGTAACACGAAAAATTTCCTATCCACAGAAATCACAAGGGCGAGTTGGGCTGGTAGAAGGAAAAATTTGCATTACAAAATCCCACAACGGTTTGGATCCCAGTGAAAAATATATATCGACGTCATCATGCCCGAAAAATATGAACGCAGAAGAAACTCAAAAAGAATTGGATCCATGTTTCGATGCAGTCAAAATTTCTATTAAAAATTGTAAACGACCTGGTTGCAAGCACAGTACTGAGAAGCGAGCGTGTATCTGGCCACAGCCATGCCCAGCTGATTGCTTCCAGCAATTTCCACCATCCGCAGAATTCCCAAATTGTTTTAAGTGGCCTCTAAATTAAAACATTGTCACCGCAAAATTGTGCATTAAGTTTTATTCGCAGTTCAGCGATCGCATAAGAAAATATGACGACTGAGAAATTCCAAATGAATAAAGGAACTGATAAAGAAACAAAATTTTCTTTCACCTGTCACACTGAAGGACACACTTTTTTGAACGTCATGTAAATTCTCTGTATTCATTCGACACAAATAAATTAACAAGTATATAATCCGATCGCAATTAATATTAAAATCATCATGATGACGGAAACACAGCTTATTGATCCTGCCGATGTAATTTGCAATTTAAAAGCTGCCGTCACGGCTCTAGAATGGTGAGCTTCTCAGGCGCATACAATTATTCTTATAATAATGCCTACAGCGTAAAAGACTTTTCATTAATTACCCACAGTCAGCACCAAATGGAATTACTCAAGCCACAAAAAGAAAACCCACAAAAATCATCACCGTCTATGTACATTATGTTACCCGTGGAGGAGTTACAAAATGACACATGCTCCGAATATAATAATGGACGACTCAACAGTACAAACGGACAAGAAATGGACAAAGAGAGTGTCCATAGCACTTACTGCAAAGAGAACGGAAAAGGAAGTGTGAAAAATAAGAAGGAAGAGGAACGCCCACAATGTATAGTCAGTATCATTAAGTAATGACCATGTTAAAAACGGTTTAATCGATGCTCCTTTTACTTTTCTTCCTACTACGAAGGATCCTCGTAATATGAAATATCCGGAAATGCGTGGAGGCGTTCTGTATACTCGCTGCGGATGCATTCATAGGGATGGTCTTCAGGATTCGTGCCCACTGAGCGAGTGTCAAGGACAGCCAGAGTGTCTTGTCAAGCCATGGGCGATATGTCCTCCTGGAAAATATTATCGAGCAAAACATCCGGAAATATATCCAATGCCGCCAAATGCCAACGCCATCACATACTGACTAGTATAACATTAATTAATAAGTGAAGTATAATATAATCGAGACTAGATTTTATGTATACACCTATAATGATTTTTGACTACCATATATATGAAACAATAAAGAATTTTTATGCAGCATAAAACGGACTTAAGATTTGTTCCTTAGTATATTGACGATCGATATTTACAACGTTATAACAATCGTTGCCCAGGATCTAGGATGTTTTTTTCTTTTGATAAAACATTTTTCAGTTTGACAATAAACGTCATTGGAATTGGGATGATTTCTCACTGATCCCATAATTATCCAAATTTTTAGTAGATGATTCCTTTTGTCTAAATTAATAGTGATCCAGGGGCTCGAGGAAAGAGCCATGATAAATTAAAAGTGTGAAGATAAATAAAAAATTGCTAAAAAAATAGATAAATACTTCGTAAGATTTTATATCTTTTATATTTAATAAAATCGTATAAAAATGCCTTGTGATGGGAAGAATCCAAATTGCGACAGACGTCGAGAGCTTTTAGCACAATTAAAATGTCTCGTCAGCACCATGGAAAGGAAGTATGCATGTGTACGAGATTTTTAAAAAATTCTAATACTTACCATGTGGCCTTTTTAATTATTTTAGAAAACCTTGCGAGTGGGATGAACCACCCTGTCCACCACCTACATGTTGTCCTGTATGTCCACCACCGTCGTGTGGATCTCCTTGTCAACAAGGCTGTTGTCCACCATCCTGTCCTCCTTGCTGTGTGAGTAATACATAAGAGCATCCCTTAATTATATGGTAATGAGATCTGACCAATTATAATTTCAGAGTCCAGTAAAGGCATGCAAGAGTTTCGAATTGCGTGGCAGCATAATGTACCGTTGCGAATGCATCAAGAGAAACGGATTGCAAGACAGGTGCATGATGTTCGACTGCATGGGAAGACCGGAATGCATGACTAAGTTGTATCCAGTATGTGGACCAGGTCGTGCAGCCTTATTGAAACTGACTGACCTTGGTGATCCCGAAGTAGCCCTTAGGAAGTTCTATTGCGCCGATAAAGCCAGGGAAGCTGCTTTGGCAGCTTACTGCAGGCTGAAGTGTGACAGTACATGTTCTGCACCTTGTCCATCTCCTTGTGATCCTTGTTGCCCACCACAACCTTGTTGTCCACCACCACCTTGTGATCCTTGCTGTCCACCTCCTTGCGATCCTTGCTGTCCACCTCCATGCGGTCCTTGTTGCCCACCACCACCTTGTCCTATGAAGCTTAAAATAATTTCGTGTCAACCGCAATGTTGCCCTCCACCTTGTCCACCGCCGTGTTGTCCTCCACCGTGCCCACCACCATGCTGCCCTACGCCATGCCCACCACCATGCTGCCCTCCTCCATGCCCACCGCCATGTTGCCCTCCTCCATGCCCACCACCATGTTGCCCTCCTCCATGCCCACCACCGTGCTGCCCTCCACCATGCCCATCACCCTGTTACCTTCCACCATGCCCACCATGTTGCCCTCCATGCCCACCGCCATGTCCACCATGTTGTCCACCGCCGTGCCCTCCGCTGTGTCCACCACCTGTTTATTGTTGTTCACCTCCGCCTTGCTGTCCACCTTGCCCTCCGTGTGGAACACTTCGAATGGCATGCATGCCATGTCCTCCTCCATGTCCACCTCCATGCCTACCGCCTTGTTTACCTTGCATGCCTTGCTGTCCACCTCCTATTTGTTCAATGTCTTGTTGCCCCACATGCTAAAATTTCAAGGCTAATACTTATTGAAAGACTCCGATCTTTATACTTTTAATAAGCTGATGTATTATATTCAAAATATATTTATAATAAAATATTATTTACACGCAAAAAACTGGCTCTAACTAATATTCAGAAATAAATGATTTCTTATATTAAACGTACATGAATATTTCAAACACAATAGACACTGTAATTAGGCGAGCAGTTGAAAATCGTCCACGGACCACTTGATCGTTGCATTAACCTAAATTCTAAAAAAAAGCACTTCAGTTAAAATTCTCGTGGGAACAACATCCATGAATAATATATGTCATTGAAAATATTCATAAAAATTCTGGGAATAATGAATAAAACTTTAAAAAGTTAAACTAGTTTGATAAAACGAAAAAAAATGTCTTGTCAAGCCTGCAACTCAACTCCTTCCTGTTCTTCACGAATGCTGGCCGCTCCGCCGCCCTGTCCTGCTGGTCCATGCTGTCCACGACCATGTCCACCTTCGGCTCAGTGCGTACCATGTATACCATGTTCACCATGCATGCCCTGTTCACCTTGCATACCATGCATGCCATGTCCACCACCATGCCGAATAACCATTTGCACTCCACCCGTGCCGTGCGGACCCTGTCCTCCAAAATGCATTCCTTACTGTCCTCCCCCATGTCCTTCACCTTGCCCTCCAAGATGTCTCATGAGAGTCGCTTGTCGACCTTTGAAATGGACTCTACCCCTTTAATCAACTCCGAACAATCGAAAGGATATAGAATTGATGGTCTTCGTTGCTGAAATGTCTCAAGCTTGTTGTCTCCTTCGTCCGCTCGGCACAGGTCAGAATCATTCCATTCCATGCCTTTTTCCTATTTTAAATATTATTATGAATTTTCCATCCTTCATTTTTAGATGCACAGTTACGGTACCACCAGCTCCCATACCGCCACCCAAAGTTTACGTCCCCAAGAGGCCATGTTGCAGACCTGGATGTTTCCACAAGCCTCGTCCCTTGTGTTGTCGATACTTATACTGGCGTTTACCATGTAAAGCTCATTGCTTTGAGGTTTGGTAGCTTCTTTTTTTTAGTCGTGAAATCAGCTAGGATGGATTCGTATACCATAATGCCTTCTCCTAACAACGTCTTGTCTTGCATGATATTATAAATGTAAGTTACTACATCACTAATATATACATTTAAAAATAAAAACTAGTATCGCAGTTGACACAGTACTTTTTTGAAATTACTTTTTTCCACATTGGGAGAATATGAAGGAAATGAAAACTAGTGTTTGTCCCATTTTAATTATTTTATAAAAATATAAACTTACTTATTATAGTAATAGTAAACGAATGACTCAATTGCATATTAACTTATACATATTTATTCCTTTTTTTAAGAGGAAACCTTCTTCATTTAATTTTGATATAAAGCCAGTAAAGTCGTCTATCGTTATACCACCGTTCTTTGAGATTTCTTTTAATTCCGTGGCAGAGAAAATACTTTTTTTGTTTAGTTCCGATTCGTTCCGCAATAAACTGATAAAAGCTTGCACCTAAAATTAACAAAATATTTGTACAGAAATATTGTTTTGGCGCCACAATAAATCATACAAAGTATTAAATTAGATTTAAACGTTTACCTTATTCTTTGTAATTTTACCAGAAGTAGTAGAAGGTAAGCAAGAGAATGTGTTTTCATCAGAAACATCTACTAATGTTGCTTTTAATACTTCAACAACTTCTAAAGCATCCGTTTCTGTAGCTTCCGTACGCAGTTCCAACTTTGCTCTAGCCTGGATTCATAATAACAGTATGAAAAGTTATTGATATGCCTCAAAAATCATATTAAAAATATATTAGAATAAACAATAATTAATCAGAGTTCAACTTAAAAATTAAAACTGTACCTCAGTTAGCCTGATGAGAGCTTCTAATTGCCTATGAAAAACCTGTATGCTTCCAAGAACTTGACTTTTCTTACGAAGTTCAAAATAAAAAGTCTTTATTACTTCAGCAGCAGCTGATGACAATTTTGGTCTGACATACTGCCGCGCGTATGAAATATATTTTCTTAAAATTGATTGGGGTATATTATCAATAGTTTCACCATTTGAAACGCTTAACTTCTCCCTGCAATAACATAATTCCATAACACAACCAAGAAACAATATTGTTCCTATACCATGCTTGTTGTATACGAATATAAATCACCTTAAAGTAAAATGCTGGCTCGTCGACGGTTGGCTATTTGAATTACGAAAAGAATTATTCTGATTTCTATTCGCTCTCAATCCCGCGTGTAATGACATTACGTGTTCGCATAAAAACTTGTCTAATACCTGTTAAAAATGCAATAAGAATAATAACCTGACAACAATGAATCAAATCTGTATAGATTAAAAAATTCTACCTGATTAGGACGATCTAGCAGTATGAATACCAAGTCAAATCGCGAAAGAAGTGGTTCGCTCATATTTAAATTTTGAATAACTGTCTTGGACCTGTCATAGCGACCACCGATAGGATTGGCTGCTGCCAAAATTGATGTTCTTGCTGGAAGAGAACATATAATACCAGATTTGGCAACACTCACACTTTGTTGTTCCATAGCTTCAAGTAAAGCCTGATGCTGAGTAGACATTTTATCAAATTCATCGATGCAACAACATCCTTTGTCAGCCAAAACTAAAGCACCGGGTTCAAGAGCAAAATCATTTGTCCCATTTTCTTTTGTGAGAGTTACTGTTAATCCAGAAGATGTACTCGAATTTCCACATATGTAAACACCTTTAATTAGTAATTATATGATGAATTATATTTGAGTATGATTACTTTGTAATCGTTGAATATTATAGTTTTCTATACCCTTTGGTGCAACACGAGCGCAAGCTTGTAACATTTGTGATTTTCCAAGACCGGGATCACCAACAACTAATACGTGAATATCATCTCGCACTTCTGCATGATTACCACTGCCACCGAATAAGCTTAAGATTAACCCTGCTTTAATGATTTCATGACCATAAATATCAGGGCACAATGAATGAACTAATAATTTAAATAAATTAGGTTCGGCATGTACTTCCTGGAAATATTACATTTTTAATAGAATTGGTATATACATGATGTTGAGGGTAATGACGATGTTTACCTTAATTGCATAATAATCCGTTAAATTCATTTCTATGCCACTTGTATGTTTGTTTTGTACTTTGTACTTCTTATTTATTACCGCCACTGCTTCCATGTATAAAGGGAGGGCGTTGGAAGTATTTCCTTTAGTTTTGCCATCATTGGTGCCTGACATCTGCGCCAATTGAGTATTTGAGCAATCAGGAAAGTAAATTGTTAAATATTTTTTCGACTTAGAGTACCTTGATTATTCCAGTCAGACTAACATCGTCTCCTGGCATACACGAATCCACTAAATGATCTGTAAGTTCCACATCGAGCATACGAGGCATCATTCCTCTGTCATTCTATTGGAATAAATGTATTTGTATAATTATTTTAAAATATATTGATATCATAGGCAATTGTATACTATAAACATATGTATTCATACCTGCTCATCATCGAAATGCTCTTGTACTCTAATCATTTGGAAAAGTACAGTTTTTGTATGTGGTGAATCAAGAACTGGTTTGTATTTTGTAACACCACATATATTACATCTTCTTGGTACCGTATAAATTCCATCTGGCTGCTTTATTACTTTTTGTAAACCACATTTTGAACATACAAATACAATCCATTGTGCGAGATGCTTAGATCGAGCTACTCTTATTACACAGCCTCGAGTTGATATCAGTTTTCCTATAAATGAAAAAAATTTTGAAATCATTAAATTTTGTTGACTATATTTATGTATAACATACCATATGAACTTATTTTAAGATATCTTAACGGAATGATTGGTTTGTAGTTTATTATTGTAGCTCGAATCATAGGTAGGTTTGCCAAGATATCTGCAGAATTAGTTGTATCGTCCAGCAATATTTTAACAACTCTCTAAAAATCATAATATAATAAGTTATAAAACCATTTGTATATAAGTGTTATGCTGAAATACTGCTCATATTTGTTTAAAACACTATCATACTTGATGTATTGCTAAGTCAATGCAATTCAAGGTGTGTCTTGGATTATCTCGCAAATCACCATCAAAAGTTTCCCAATTATTTAATAATATTATGTCACTCAGCAACAGGTTAATATCAATATGACATGGTATTCCTGCTTCAAAATTTTCACGAGATATTAATATTTGATGTCTTTCAAGGAAATCTTCTATAGCTTCTAGTTTCTTCACAGTTGAAGAATTCTTCTTGTACTCTAAAATTTAATTATATGTCAATGATCTTAACTTTTACAAGTATAAAAAATTAACAATCAACTTGCTTTTTATTTATATTAATTTGTTCTCACCTTCAGCATGGAAATACAACTGCCAACCACAATAGGGTACCTCAGAATTTCTTTCGAGGTCAAATGTAATGGCATTTTCTTCATGATTTACAGGATTTGCAGAATCTTCTGCCAGTGGTACATTATTGCCAGGTATATTTTTATTAGCATTATTCGTATTACTGTCTAAAATGAATAAGAGTAAGGGTAGAATAAAAGTGTTGTACAAAAACAAATACAAGTACAACAAATAACCTAATATCTTATAAAACGTAATCAGCTTATTGCACTTGGTGTGTTTGAAAACAGAGTCCCTAGTATTTTGCCGACAATACTACAAATAAAGATGTAGTTAATTTGTCATTAGTGCCTACCAAGTGCAACGAGTTGAAAATGTTACTAAAATATAAAGTTTAAAAATCAAATATAAATGTTCGATGATAGATTTAATAACACACTAAATATATATAAAATGATGTTAAAATTATATACAGGAACTTAAAATGTTGAATTATGTTTGTACATCAAAATATTCATATGAGTTTAAAAATACTCACCGGATTCTTTAGAAATACTACGTTTCCTCTTATTATTCCAATAGCGTCGATTATTATGAAAATTTCCTCGGTTACTCATCTTTAAACTTATAATCTACATGTCTATGACCACACCTGATACAATTGTGAATCTTGAATGATTTTTCATATGTAATTGATATGTAATTTAATTTCGAAGATACTGAGGCTCCATCCACCATACCACAGTTCATTGTTTAAACTTGGTTCGACGGTCCGCGATTAGCCAATCAAATTCTTGCATTTTAAAGATAAACGGAGGAAACACAGGAATCGGGCCTGAAGGCACTGGCTGCGTTTCACGCTCACGCGCTTGTAAGCGTTGCTTATTTTGTTCCTTTTGGCGATGTGAGCCCTCACAAACGCCGTCATGACGTCATTGATGGCGTCATAACTCGTGCTCTTAAGCGCTTATAAACGCTTCTTTCGTAGAGGTAGTGCAGCGAAAGCGTGAGTGCTCACAAACGCTTAAACACCTAAAGGAACGTGAACAGTGTTTGTTTGTCATTCGTCGCACAAGAAAACTCAAACATTCATCCATGTTTTTCTCGTAACTATTGCTGTCATTTGCATCCAAGTCGTCGTCTTTATCTTCGTTGAACAGTATATCAAATAATATTAAACTTTGAACGACTACACTTTCCACATTCTCCATCTTTTTTTTTAAATGCTCACGTATATCGATATGAGTTTCTTTTGAACGTCAACGTGATCGCTCGAAACCAAACGAAACGCTTGCAAGCAACGTTCAAAAGCGTGAGCGCTTACAGCGCGTGAGCGTCCAAATGAAATGCAGCCACTGAAGGATCTGAATTTATGCGGAAATTTTATAAATGTAACTCGTCACTCATTCAATAACTATTTAGTTACTTGATCCAAAAATAACAAATGCAAATAATTTGTGACATAAATGAATATTAAGCAAATTTATATTTACATATGTACATGTTTTTTAAATTCTAACGTAAGATACGATATATAGATTCACTTTTGTGCATGCGTTCAATCATTTTAAATTATAACTTACAAATTATATTTTTCAGAATGTTTGACTTATAGATGATTCAAATCTCTCGACAGTTTTGCTTTCTTGTTCGGTCAAATCTTTACTGTAATAATAAAATATTAAACTTAATTATAGTCGATAAGATAACACACAAAGAAATAAACTTACGTAAAATCTTCACGCTCTTTCAGTATATGAATATGATGATATCTCATAGTAGAAAATGATTTAATTTCAGTCGAATATTCAATTTTACCCTCGGATGATTTTTTGAATGATACTGTCTGTATTTTTTGTCCAGGCTCATTATTCCAATCTGACCTAAGATTTGCTCTATGCATTAAAGTTATGTCCTCTTCAGCCGCATTGATCTTATAGATAAAAATTATATAAAAAACTTTTACAGTACTTGACACAAATGAAAACATATATCTTACTTTGTTGTGTAAACCGGATTTGATAAATGGCAATAAAATAACCGTGATTATTGAAAGTAATGAAAGAATTAATAAAATCCACAATTTAACGAAAGTGCCAGAAAATAAAGTTAATAAGACGCTCATTGCGATGCTAATGGACTGCCATAATCCCATTTGAGCATATGCTTCCAGTTCATCTTTAGGAAACAGTACACCATATAGTGCTAGAGTACAATAAAAATATTACTTACAATTACATTTTTACTATGCAGTTTATGAAAGTTGGTTGAGTACGCGTTTACCATGAATTAGACAATCCCAAATAGATGAAGCTAAACTCCAAATACCAGAGATACAATAATAACCGATAGCTTCTATTTTTACGTTTGCCAACAACAGCAACGTTGGTATTAAATAAAGTATTCCAGCTACTAAAAGAATTATTTCCGTATTAACTGTTGATACTAAGGGTGCTATTGATAATGACATCTGACAGTATAAAACAGTCCCAAGAATATATTGGTCCATTCCATCATAACGATTTTTGTTACAACCTATATAAGCCTAAAATAATAATCATTAGATTGATATATGTATAATATGTTTATGACTTCTATTTTTTTACCATTAAATAATCGTATCTAAGAAAAACTTTTTCGTATCCAGAAAATAAAGTCATTGGTATAATTAAACGTAGTTGCTGTGTTTTAATTAAGTTTATTGTCGACATCCACGATCTAGGTTCTGGATCCGCGTTTAATTCTGTCATTGTTAATCTAAAATAGAGTAAACATTGAATAACATACAATAACTAAATGAGAGATCTTGCATTACTTACGTCTGCAAAGGTTTTAATAATATTAACGTAATGACTGATGTAACCAATGCCAAAATAATTAATACCAAACTTGCTATATGAGAAATTTCGCCTTGAGGTGGAATACTCAATTCGGTAACATTTTCATGCTGGCCTACGTTTAATTAACTTAATGTTCATAATTTGTATACAATGTCAAAATTATTACCACGACTTACCATAGTAAAAATTAAGGCCACAATTTATTTTGCTAGTATTTTGATACTTTAAGGTTCGTTTATCGGCTAAATGAATTATTTATTTATATATTGTTTATATAAATTATTATATTCCATATTGATATTTTATATACAATGATACCGACCGAGCATCATAGGTATGTAACAGATAGTCTCAGAAATCCTATATATGGATAAAAATATTCCTGTCATTTGTGTCAAAGTGATTTCTATGCTCCTCCCTGTCACTTTGCACATAATTTTTGCCAATCGAATAACATAAATCTGTTGAATAATGTGTACAATTACAAAAGCTGGCGCCATAAGTAAAGCAAATGCTATTTTGATTTCTATTTGATTGAAGAGTTGCATAGATACGAATATCATATAAAATATTGATCCACAGAATAAAGCTCGCTTCACTGTAAAAGAGAATAATAATAAAGGTGTAAATAGTTAATTAAAAAGCGTTTTTAAATCTTTTTTAGTTTCAAATTCATGAACTGATTAGTAATATATTACATTTAAAACGGGGAAAGATCAATGCAGGTAAAATCGGAATAGTACAAGCCTGTGCTATTTGATAAATCAAATATCCATACAATCCAGGATAATCATATTCGTACATACGTGACATCAATATCACCTTATAGAGCAAATACATCGCCAATTGATTGAAACTCAATAGCGCTAAATTTTTGTAAATATTTCTTTTACATCTCTGTATGTAATCATGCACTGTTATACCACGTTTGGTCGTCTTCTTCTTGCAGGGACAACGGTAACAAATCATTATCTATCACTGGGCAATATAATAAAAATTGAAAATATTGACAGTTTCAAGACAAAAGCGTCATTATCAAACTAGTAAATTTCAACTATTTCTTATAATTTCCTTGTTTCAAGTAATATCGATTAAAGCTTCGAGTTTTTTTAAGGAAGTTATATTTTATTTTACCTGTGAATGCATGTATACATGGTGTTGCTATAGTAACATTAGGAGCGAGTGATATTTTCTTTAATTTTTTTGGTCTAATCTCATAGAAAGAATGGACAAATATACACTAAATGGACGCATTGGAGAAGGTGCACATGGTTTAGTTCTGAAGGCGTATGACACTGTTAATAAGCGAGAAGTTGCTTTGAAGAAAGTATTGCTTAAAAGGATTGAGGATGGGATACCGACATCCGTTATACGAGAGGTTAAAACTTTACAACAATTAAAGCACCCATATGTAAGTTTTCTTATATCAAATGAGATATATTAATAAGGTAATCACTTTATTATTTTCACTAAGGTAAAAACTTTTCAGATTGCAGAATTATTAGATGTATTTCCAGTGGGACTGGACTTTGTAATGGTTTTTGAATATATGCCATCAGGTTTATGGGAGTTGTTGAAGGATAATGATAAACCTTTAAATACATCACAGATAAAATGCTATATTAAAATGCTTTTGGAAGGGGTGGCTTATATGCATGAAAATAATATAATGCATAGGGTAGGAGAATTAACATTTTATAATTTTGAATTGTAGCTTATTAATTTTACATTGCACGTATATTGTCTTTTTGCTTAAAAGGATTTTTTTAGGACTTGAAACCAGCCAATCTTCTAATTAATAGCGAGGGTATTTTAAAAATTGCTGATTTTGGTTTAAGTAGGTTAATGTGGAGTGATAATACCAAACCATATTCACATCAGGTAGCAACCAGATGGTATAGAGCTCCAGAGTTATTGTATGGAGCACGCTTTTATACTGCTGGTATTGATATGTGGTCCGTTGGTTGTATATTTGGAGAAATGCTTAATAATGCACCATTATTTCCTGTAAGCATACATTTATGTCATTCTGGGATTTGATGAACCAAATTTTAGCCATGTAAAGATAATTTATATTTAGGGAGAAACAGATATTGAACAATTAGCAATTGTACTGAGGCTACTTGGTACACCAACATCAGAATCATGGCCAGAGATGACTATGCTACCTGATTATAACAAAATTACCTTTCCTTATCACAGAGGTGTACCATGGGAACATATTCTACCAGATGCTCATTCTGATGCAATCGATTTAATTAAGCAAATACTGGTATATAATTCTGCAAAACGTCTTATGGCTAAACAGGTAATTTCAAAATTTTGTACACTTTGTTATCAATAATGGATTAATAAAAATATGATTCTTTTACAGGCATTACAACATGTATATTTTCATTCTGTACCATTTCCGTGTTCGGTAAAGCAATTACCAAAACCATTGCAAGGACATCGTATGTATTTAAAGTCTAAAGAAATAGATACTAATACAAAGCTTACAATACTTTTTAAGAACTTGTTGAGTGTGGTATAAAAATTGTATATAAAAAAATTCAATATATGTACTCTGAAGATTAAAAAGTTGAACCAAAAGTTTACCTAAACAGATTAAGTCGAGTAACATCATCTCACTTTTCATTATTAGCCAACATTAATAATACATATGATAATAAAAACACATTCTATATAACTGGCATTTATCATCATTACATAAAACGATAAACAAAACATTTACCTCGTGGATTTCTCATTTGTATACGTTATGCAACAATTATTTAGATAAAACAAAGAATTTCCGATAAGACACTTCTATATTGTTTTAGAAAGTTCGGGAAACTTCATAATCGTCGCGCTCAACATTAATCACTAATCACTATACGTATGCTCCTTACATATGCGTATCATCGTAGACACAAACTATGCCAAACTGACGTCACATGTGTCATACTACTATTCGATTCAAATAAAATACTTTGCAGTAATATTTATTATGCACATTATTTTTCAGCGTTTACTCTTTTCGTCTACGAAAAATTTTATTAGGGATAATAGAATTTCCAATGAAAATGACATACTGCAGAAGTAACTAAAAATATAATGGTACAATTATGCTTTTGACCATGGTGACAATTGAAATAGCTAATCAGCATGTAATATTATTTGATATCCCTGATCTTATACATAGTTCATGGATTAGTAGGGCCATCACCATAGCTGCCACTTAAGTGATGTATCTTTATTCTGTAAGAAATTGCATCATTGATAGTGCGTGCTCTTATCTAATTTCCAAATATTGAAAATTCTATTTATCGAATTATACATATATTCATAATGTTAAACAATACTTTATATCTGAGGTTCGGATTATCGGTGCGATGTATAAACAAATTGGTAAGTTAAGAAAATATTGGAAGCGATAAGTTTAATTTCATAAGAAAATGTGTAAAACGAATTATTTCTTCTGGCGTCCATGACACCACAATGGAATTATGTTTGGTTTACGAAATTGACAATAAAGAGATTCGTACTAAAATATTTCAAATAGCACGGAAGTTGCCATTTAAAAAAATCATATATCGATAGATGTAAAATCTGAGTAACAAAGTATAGCAATGTAATTGAAGTTGTAAAACAATATTCAAGAAATAAATGAGGGTCTACAATAGAAAATCATGCGGAAAATGAGTTATGATATATATAAGTCAGTAGGTATTGTTACAAATAAGTTTGATAGCATGATTATACTAATAACGTCTTTTTTTCTAGATTGAACATTCCATTGACAAGGGTGCTGATAGGATATATATTAAGTTTGTTTCTGCATTAAATCGCATTCAAATAATCGATGACAGTTCTGGCATTCCTGTAGAAGTCTTAAGAAATGTTGGAGAATCATTTCATACAAATTATTTTTCAAATGAAAACGATTATAACTATAATAATCTGTTGTATAAAATTCGAAATTCATCGAATTATTTATTTATATGGAGCAAATATTCAGGAGAATCTTATGTGAAGGTATTAGTTGTATTGTTAAAGAACACTTTTAGTTTATTATATAGTTTTAAAAATATATTCATTAAATTCTTTTCTATTCTTAGATATTTTCCAAAGATGAAGCTCCTCAGCTAATAAATTTTTATTCACGAGAGCTAGACGGTACAACAGTGACAGTCTACGGGCTTGTAAGAATAGATGAAATGAATGCGGATATAAATGCAATACAATATTTAGTTGCTTTATACGCCAAATTATTTAAACATGTAATATATTTTAATATTTTCGTGAATAATGATGAACATTTTAACTATTTTTAAGTATATTTTTTGTATTATAGGTTACTTTCAGACTTATGGTTGATACAGAAGAGCGAATTATTGATTTATTCATTCCAACGAGAGTTTTAATCAAACTTCTTAAAATCATTTTAGCGAGAGAATATCCATTCTGCGACGTATGTCGCTCACTGGATGATACTTTCTGACTAAGAATCCGTATCTATATAGGAATAAAATATTTTCGTTATATATTTGTGAATGGGATTTACGTGCATTGTCCAATGATACAGAATTTAATATTAAAAACGTTGAACGAAAATTTTCATGACACTAAACTCGATTTGAAAAGGAACAAAGTTTCGAATTTGTCATTTATACTATACATCAACTGTGTACAGACGGAATACAAACTTATTACGGAAAATAATATGACATGGATAAACTTTAATAAACTGAAAGTGATCCGGGAAGTTATGAAAGAAGCCATTAGAAAAAATGTTATACACAATTTTAAAGCATTGCCTCTGCAATTACCAAAGGATAGAATAACAAACAGAGATTTATTTGATGTGTCAGCACATAAAGATATATCCTTGTCGCGAACAAGCGAAGCACAATATTTGCTTAAGCTGGATAATCCTTTGTCAGATGAAACCATGCCATACAGCATCAAAGGCTTACAGAAGTTTAGAGGAAAGTATCGTAAGTTGATGTTGAAATACATACGTCAAACTTTGCAGAAGAAGGATTCAATTCGATCTGAACGATTAATTAAAATTAAGCCACCAGAAAATATAACCTCAATAAAAACTGCAAATTATATTCGTCATTTACGAAAGTATAATAATACAAGAGAAGTGAAAGGAATTAACAAATTCACCAGCGTACTTCGAAAGATGATAAGAAGAGATATGCTTTTAATGAGGAAACGACTGTTCAATATGAAACTAGGAAGATCGAGACTTCAAAGGAATACGTATAAAAGTACAATGGAAATACGCTCACATAATACGTTCCATGCATTATTTCAAAATAACGAATTATCCGACAAGAAGAATATTACTTCTAACGTGAATATTATGATAAATTTAAATGATTCGAATAAAATGCATAATGCCAAAGAAACAATAATTCATGTGAATCAAGTAGAAACAGATACCTTGTATTGCGGTTCTGAATGGTCTGACTGGTCTTATCACAGCAAGGAACCAAAAGTTAATGGCAAAGAATCATATGATAAACATTTGAATAAATATGAAAATCGTAAACACTATGATTTTCTTCCTCGGAACTTAAATAATCTTTTACTCTATGGCTCAAAGAGATTATTATATAAAACAAACATCGAAACTTACGTCAAGAGAAATATCCTAGAGTCTGCTTCATATGGTTATTTCTTTTTATTTATTTTTTTATCATTAAATTGTAAATTGATATGTTTATATCAGATGTAATACATTATTTAATATATTAGGTATGGGTCGGCGGCAGGATTTAGATGTACGACATTGTACAATTGATACAGCCATTCGTGAATTCACACTGAAAAGAAAATCTGTGACATTGTTAGAAGCGATCGGCCAGATAAATCTTGAATTCATAGCCGCGTTGACCGTTCAGGACGACAAGGAATTGTTGATACTTATTGATCAGCACGCAATGGACGAAAGAATTCGTTATGAAAGTATTTTACGAAAAAACGTCTTCGTGTCTGTTGACTTACTGAAACCAATCACTGTGGAGATCATGAAGCCTCATATTTGTCAAATCCTATTAGATAATCCTAACTTATTGAAACAATTTGGCATACGTTTGCAAGCAGGGGATAATTATTCTTTAAGAGTAATTAGCATACCAAAGTGCTTTGCCAAAAGAATATACAATGAAAATGATACGAAAGTACTTATGCCAGTGCGAAATTTATTATTGGAATTAGCTGAAAATTTAATAACAGCTAATACAGTCAGCATTGTACCTTTAACCATCCGTCAAGCTGTAGCAACTGAAGCTTGTCATGGTAAGAATCATATGCTTCACATACGTTAAAGGTTTTTTTACTTAATTAAATACTTTTATGGGATAATAATACTTGGGAATTATTTTAGGTGCTGTTAAATTTGGTGATCCATTAACATTAGAACAGTGTAAAACTCTTGTGGAATCTTTGAAAGATACTTGTGCTCCAAATCGCTGTGCACATGGACGACCATCATTGATACCATTGCTGATACTTTCAGATTTTACAAGACAGCAACCAAAGCAGCTACTGGTATGTTATTTTATTACACTGTTATGGATTTTGTTTTGAAAGTATAATGGTTTTCTGCTGCGCTAAAGAGTCACAAGTTTATTTGAATATTTTTTTCCATATCTCTTATACAACATTTCAGTCATTCTCAAGAATTTCTACCTTCTGTAACATAGTATACTTCTAAAATAATATTATAGGAAATAATTCATAAGTATAGTACATCAGATGCACTCTTATTTCTGTTTGATGCTAAAATGCATATACTTCTATTCATATGTTTTTAGTAAAATATTATGAATATTCCACGAAATGCATTATACAATCATAAACTTTCCTGTGGTTCATGTATAAAATCACATATTATAAAAAAAAGTTAGATATTGATATCAAAACAACAAATATGCAATATTACTATATTTCAGGATAAGCTGAAACTAAAATGTCCTTGCCAAAGTAGTTGAATCTGTGAGCTATAATGACAAATTTATTTCCTCCCAAAGAAACTGGACAAGGTCCATTAGGACGTGTATAGAAACACACAGTATACAGTGCCATTTCTAATTCTGGTGATGTACCCACAAAGATTGTTGTCACAGGCTGAACAATTTCATTCAATGAATCACGTAATTTCACAATAGCACCCTTCTGTAAAATTAATAAATGCGTCACTATAGTATTCATACACCATACATACCCCAATTGTAGACAAAATTTAAGTAATACTTACATCTCCAAGACCAACATCTTTAATGTATCCCAAATAGTTGAGTTTCTTTGCAGTTTCTTGTTCATTAAAGTAAATCCAATCATGTAGACCAATAATATCTGAATCAAATTTCTCAGCAAGATATACAGTCTCAAAACCAGAACTGGATGGCTCTCCATCACCCCTCTTAAATTGGGAAAACCAGATGCGCCTCAGAGCATCTTTAAACTCGTATTCGTCATTAGGAATATAACCCTTATCTGCTAAAAATTTCATAGCACTTGATAATACATCAGTTGCCAGGAAAGTATCAAGTAGCTCCATTTCCTCCTTTCGCTTTTCTGGTGTAACATTTTCTTTCACCTTGACATCTAACTCATAATTATCAAAAAGTGATCGAACAGCTTTAACAGTTGGAATTTCAAGAGCTTCAGGCTTAACAGTTAATAACCTGTGTAACATACAAGAATTGTGATTATCAAGAAGTTGATAAAAAAATGTATGAAAAATATTTAAACAATGCTTACGGTTCAGGAGCATCATCAGTGACGGAGTCATCTACCTTTTTCCCTTGCAAATTCAAAGTAATGTACTGATTTGCATTATTTTTGTCTTTAGTGAGAAGATCTTCACTCAACTTTTGTATATCTTCATCAGTTATTATATATCCAGTTGGGCTAGCATTTGTCATTGTATTGCCTTGCGCATTTTGATCATTGCTATTAGAGTTAGCTGCAGTATTTTGATTTGCTGCTGCACTGGCTTGTGCATTAGATGATGCTGCATTTGGAACAGGAGCAGCAGTGCTTGTTGTAGTACTTGCATTTGGATCCACAGGAATGGCAGGATTTGGTTGTGGTGCTGCAGGGGCGGCAGCAGGAGCAGCAGCAGGTGCGGCTGCTGGAGCGTTTGATCCTTGACTATCAGATTGATTGTTGTAATAATTATTGTATGTAATCTGAGTATGCGTGACACCACCACCGCCACTACTTCCACCGCCGGAGTGACCTCCTCCTGGTAACAATCTATTAACCGCAGCATTAACTCCTGCACTGACACCAGCAAACACCAATGCCTCCTTAGCCAGCTGCCCAATTCCTGGCCTGTATGCTTGTCCAGTTTGACCAGGTACAACAACAATACTTTGTCCGACAGGTGGATTGTATCCTTGGCCTGCTGGTGGATGATATATTTGCCCATACGATGGTGGGTTGTAAGACGGTCCTGCTGATGGATTGTATCCCTGATTGTAGGATGGATTGTATCCATGACCACCAGCTGGACCGTACGGATTTCCACCAGCTGGATTATGTGGGTGACCAAATGATGGGTTATATGATTGACCAACAGATGGATTGTAGGGTTGATTATATGATTGTCCTCCAACTGGAGGATTGTAGCCATGTCCAACTGATGGGTTGTAGGATTGTGATGGGTTCTGTCCATAAGTGTTTCCTATTGTATAAGAAAGGAAATGTACATTGTAATAGCTTATCTGATATAACTGTCATACTCACAACTTTTTGTAAACTATTTATACCTGTTGGATTGTACCCAGATTGCACCTTAGGTGCGTTCACTTTTGTTGCCACGTTATGATCAGGCAATGGGGCTGATGGTTTTGCCACATTACTAGGAGGATTGTTTTGTTTCTGACTTGCTGGCGGAATATTCCAACCAATCTTGTTAGGATTTGAACCTGTAATAAATAGCACACTTATTATGTTACATTCATCATTTATACGTCATTTCATTCGTAGGCTACCTATATTCAGCTCTAAAGTGATGATACAATGTTATGCAAAAAAGCGGTTTGTCATTGCTTTAAAAAAATATTCTACTGCCCGTTATTATTTAACACCCAGTCAAACGTTATTATATCATATAACTACATCTCTTCCCATATGGTATATCTCTCACGAATTTTCTCACCTTGATGTTGTTGGCTTGTGGTTCCACTCAATTTTGGTTTCTGTTCATTACCAGCACCGGTTAATTTTGCTGCCCAGTCTCTGTACTCCTGTCCTTTTTGTTTCTCACTCACTTTGAAAAAATATCAATAATACCCTCTCACTTTTTTTTTTCCTTCTCAAAATTTCAATCATATTCAATCTATCATTTATATATGTATCTCAAGCAACCACGTCGGATTAGCAACAATAACAAGTAGACTAATCTCCATCAAACTATCATCTGATATCATTCGTACCGTATCCTCTATATAATTACATCCGACAAATTGTATCTCATTGTCTACGATCAGCATTGACCATAACATCATTGCAAACACCGCTCTTGATTGTACTGATGACCTTTGATAATTCTGATAGACATTCTAATGCGCTGTTACCTACCAAAGCCTAATATTTCTAGTAAGGTATACGTTTCCCTTTTGAACTTTAACACGTAATATAATATTTACTTTTGATATATTACATGATATCGATCATGCAAAATGCGCAATACTCAACGATGCTCATTGGAAATGAATGATGACTCATAGATTGAATTTCAATATACTACATGCACAGCCTACTGCAATAAACAAAAAATATATATACCGTGCGTTTGGGGTGGATGAGTTACTCGGGGTGCAGATGTCGATCTTGGACGATAAACACTGCCACCTCCTCTTCTTCTGCTACTACTGATGCTCTTCCTGGCATCGGCATAGGCTGTAAAATTTAATAGAAATATTTTTAATCAAAGATGCTTACAATATTGAAAAAAATCTTTTTTCGATGCTCATGGTATTATGTCACGATTGTAATTAATTCATTGAACTTTTCAATTTCTCTTCCAAAACACAATATTATATTCATTCTCACGGAATTTTTTGATAATTTACATTCTATACAGTGGTACTGTACGTATGTACAGTGTCGGTTTCCATACGTTTCAACGAATGTGACGCACTCCTTAAATTGTTCTAGATGTCGACAATTGAATAATATCATAGTACGTGTCCATTTTGGCGTGCTCGTGATAAATTGAAGAGTAATGTTATTCTTGGACTAGTTACAGCACCCCTGCTGGTACCCTTCATCTTTTATATATGGCAACTCGTTTTGTATATTTAATTTTGTTCTCAAGTATGAACATTTTCATGAGTGATTAAGTAATCATGATTTTAACATGGTTCGCTATTATTTACATATATTTAAAATATATATCACTGGAATTGACCCCAAGAAACAGATTTACTTTCACGATCGACAGACAATGATAACATTTCAGGTACTCCTTTCACTTAAGTTTATAAAATTTCTTCAGTGACAATTCACCTGAATATTGCAGATATGCATTTATTGTTTAAAAAGAACTTGATCCTTCGTTTTTTGGCTTCTACTGGTATAATTTAGTTTTATATATAATTTCTCTCAGATTCCTCCAGCCTCTTTTTCTTTGCATACTTTCTAAAAGAGTTTCGCGATTTTCTATGTACAGGTCAGCAAGGACTGTTTCTTAAAAATTTATTAAAATTATTTATCGTAGGCAAATTCTAAGCAGATGAATATAATTATGAAATCAAAATAATATTGTCTCAAATTGTTTTATATTTAAATATTCGTAAACAAAACACGTAAAAATTCGAGGGAAATTCATTTTCTAAGAGTTTCTAGAATATTCGAAATATTTTTGTAGACTCAATTTAGCTTCTTTTAATTTTTCGCATATTGAAATATGACACGATGAAACACTCTGAGTTAGTGAAAATTGTCTGGTCTTTGTCCTCGTCCGATATTCAGTATTAGCATTGACCACGGAACACCGATATCAAGTTGTCATCATCCTATATGATTATTTCAAGAATTTTCTTTCTTATTTACTACGATTCTTACCTGATATTAGGAGGATAAACAGGAGACTGACCAGAAATGGCCTAAGCTCCATGGTGGTATCCTTAATCAGTACTTCAACTAAATAGTTGCTTTGAAAACAGATGCTCTTGGAATCACGGCCAAAGTATCACTGCCAACCTTCCAGCCTATGCAAGCCTATGCCGATCGTTTCAAGCCATCCGACGCTGTATGGCTTTGAGTGAGTCACACGTAGGCTTTCTCTTCCCATTGATCATCCAACTGGTTTTAGACGAGTGGGGATGTCTATTGAAATTATTCATTTTACGTCATACCTGCTTCCCTGGTAGAACCAATTCAAAAAGACACGGGTTTAACCTGGGCTTGAGTTCAAATTATACATATAGATCGTTAGGTGCTCAAAAGTTAATTGATACTTGTTTAGAACTTGTACGTGTTTTCTGTATTGATGGCACCATGTACGTAAATCAAGACTTGAAATATTATATTGATGAATATGGTGAAACATATATGTGTATACATATATATATATAGATGACCTTCGAGTGCGTCACGCTTCCTACGAGGAAGAACACGTTGCACCAATTCCTAGAAATAATGGAATAGACTATTACATGTTTATTTATTCCTTTGATTTAATTACCATTCTGGAGCTTGATGAACGAATGCGGATTTTTAATTGTTTATTCTTTATTTAATTTTTAGGGGAAACTGAACTTTGCATCATTGACGAGGACGAGGAAGTAGATGACCCCTGGGGAAGCTGACAAAATCGTATTATAAGACGTCAATGAATATAAGACGGAAATCAAAATTTATTTATATTTTTTTACATTCATCGTTATTTACATGAGATAATTGTTACAATTACGTTAAACTATAAACAAAAGTATTGTGATCTTAATTTAATTATGACTTATTTATTTAAAGTAACGTTATAGTTTTCAACCACTGAAAGCTTTTTCGAAATATTGCTGTCTTCTAAAAGTCATAATTCATTAATAGAGACACTTGTCGTGTATCTCTTGCTTAATTTATACTCTTTAGTCAGTTTTGTTAAATGATTCAAAGAACACGTGGATTTACGGTAGTCAATATATCACGTTGTTCTGTTTTGTATTAAGAGGACAACATGCTTTGATTAATTAATTCATGCCTTCGGGAATTATTTCCTACGTATTGAAAAGTGTACCGTTACGGTAGATAAAATTTATATTGTCATACAATTACGTGGTACAGTACCCATCAAAGATATTGTTTAGTTTTAATAGTAATTTCCTCATTTTTATAAGTTTATACAATTACGTTTGACAATATATTTAGAACACTTAAAAGTATACCCATATTTTACATTTTCGATATTAAGACATTCACATGAACTTGTCTGTGGAAGATTTAAAAGACCGGAAGAGCTAAATAAATCGTGTCCTTATCAAGATATCTATAAGACTGAGTGAAAAGATTGAGCTTCGTACCCCCAAGGGAAATAGGACACACATTAGAAGGTCTCGTATAATAGCATATAGTGTATAGAGCCATTTCAAGTTCAGGAGAAGTGCCAACGAATACGGTACCATTGTGTCGAAGAGTGCCATCGAAACGGAAGTCGGCTTTCAACAGGGCAGCTTTCTGAAAAATTAATCCACCCGTTAGTAAATTCCACAAAATTTATAAAATCTTATAAATCATTTCTTATCTATTGACTCACGTTTCCAAATTGCAGCATATCGACATAACCTAGATAGTCGACTCGATTGTTCGATTCATGATAATTGAAGCTGATCCAATCCTGTAAACCAGAGACACCATTTCCGGGGAAGACTTCCGCAGCGAAGACACGTTCAAATGCTGACGAAGTGCCATGGTATGGAGTAAACCATAAACGCCTAAGCATCTCTTTTATCTCGTAATCATTATCAATGACAAATCCCTGCTTATTCAACCATTTCGTAGTTATTGACATGACGTTTGTAAGTAAGAAAATATCTAGCAGAATATTTTCTTTCATTATTCTTTCCATCGTTATATTCTCATTTACTCGAGAATCCGGGATATAGTGCTGGTACAGTGAACGAACTGCTTGGACAGTCGGTATTTCATATGCTACAGGCATCACTTGGAAGAGCCTAAAAAATGAATAGGAATTTTCATGAAAAAAGTGTTATTTTGAAAATAGACTTACGTAACATTAAATGAAATTTTACGGTTTAGCGGCTTGGTCAGATACATTGACGCCAGTAGAATGACCCTGGATATTCAGGCTGATGTATTTATAAGCATTGAACTCGTCCTTATTGAACAATTCTTCTGATATCGATTGCAGTTCTTCGTCTGTTATCCTATACTGGTACGTAATCACAGGAGGTTTTTGAGGATCTGAAGAATTCGTAATTGGCGCACTAGCAGTGCCACTGCCAGGAGCCGTTGTCTGTGGAGGAGCTATTTCACTTGATTGCGAGGAATTAGTGGAATCTGAAACAGCCGGTTGTCCAGCTAATGGCGCACCAGGAGCAATTGGTTGAACATTTGTAGTGCCAGGAGCAACTGGCTGTCCTACGGTTGCGGTACCAGGAGCCGTTGGCTGGCCTACTGTACCAGGCGCAGCTGGTATCGTGCTACCCGGCTGATACGTTTGTCCGCCGGTGGTACCACCTGGGGAATTCGGGACTGGTACGTTAGGTTGCGCTACAGCTGGTTGATCCGGGACAATGCCATCGACTCCCGGAGGTAAGTTGATGTACTGATTGTTGTACGTGTGGGATGTAACGTACGTATTCGACGTGTCGTAATTCCGCATTGGTGCAGCATCATGATAATAACCACGATCATGATAATAATGCGAGTCATGATAATGACTAGGATTAATAATTCTATTCATAGCAGCATTCACTCCAGAATAGATAATTGCCTCTTTTAAAATTTGTCCTACACCTCTACCATTATCTTGTTGATTAGGTAACACGATTACAGGTGGCGAGGATCCAGACTGAAAAACTTGGCCCTGTTGAGGATAATGCACTTGTCCACCATGGTTAACAAAAGGAGAACCTGAATAACTCCCACCAGAATAGGAACCACCAGGATTGCTTGCAAAGACTTGAGAATTAGGTTGTAAATGTGGATATTGATTTGGATACATAACATGAGGATTTTGACCAGTCATTGGTGTATGAATTGCAGGAAATCCAACAGGTGGTGGAGAATTCAATTGAGGAAATTCACGACCTCTTTGCATAGGAGTTGGATGCACTGGATACAATGGATATGGTGGAGGGTTTCGTATAGGTGTCATTTGACTATAACTCGAGTTGGTTTTATGAAAAGGCTGAGGTTTAGGACGAGTATCATGATAAGGTCCAGGTCCAGGTTTACCGGTCTGCTGATTGTTCGTACGTCGAATGTCGCTTGAAGATCCTATGCCAGGAAATTGATTTCTATTGGTACTTTGTGTTTTAGGAAGAGATCCGCCATATATTTGAGTGCCCATAGGCGATCTGGTGGTATGTGGGACTGATTCTCGATAATTGTTATTCTTATTAACCACAGTTGGTTGAGTGGGGGCTATATATGGATTGGCCCATGGTGGATATTTCGTGGTTGGCGCTGCAGTTGTTCTGATAACACTACGAGGCGTAGTTTTTGGACCATAATTATCTGAAAATATTAACCAATCACAAAATCATTACCTGAGTACAAGAAATTATAATTATGAATAAATATCATTGGGTCTCCACGGGGTATACTGTACCGCCGGAGGTGAAGTAGCTGCATGATATTTAATTGATTATTAAAATTATTCACTATTTATAATAATTACATTAAGTTGATACTCACGTGAGTTAGTACGTCCTCCTCTTTCGCTATGTAAGAAGATGTCGGATCCTGACCTCCCAGATGATCCAGACCCTTTCAATTATTATAATACAAATATTTAATTGTATTCTTAATACCGTGACGAACGTCAGAAAAGTGTGTTTAAGATATTTATTACCTGTTTTACTGTATGTAGTATGTGTCGTATAGATTTTAGGAGGTGATGGCCTCGGATGGTATGAGGGTCTTTTGTAACCGTAAGAAGAGCGCCGCTTGGATTGAACACTCGCTATAAAAATGTCACTCTGATACTCATTTATGTCACATAGTTTTGTTTTCTGATATGCAAACTGTTTAAATACGAAGAAAAGTCGTATTTACTGAATAAATAATTTGTAATACTAATGCTCACCGCATGTTAAAATGACAAATAATAAAAATAACAAAAATCGAAACTTCATTCTATATTTATGTAACTTTATATTCCACTTAGTATTTCACTCTTCCTCGAACAGCGTGAGACTGAATTTTCTCCAAAGACGCAGGGCAATTTATAATTTGCCTCCGCTGCGATTTGCTTTGCTAGACAAAAGTGCCGATATAATTCTATGAAGACGTAAATGAATGTTTATCAGAGGTCATGATAATCTACGTGACCTGGTAAGCTATAACATGGCTTTCGAACGCAATATCATTATTAGAGTATTTCTTGAATATTATATTAATTAACATTTGGGGTGTAATTTTACAAGGTTCACATGAATTTATTAATCTATTTTAGAAAAACAAATTTTCAAGTATTGCTATACAGTAACTGTATATGCAAATATTGTTTGTCATTTACTGAAAAGAATTTACGATAATTTACCATAAAAGTTAACGTGAAGAACGACATATTGCTATATTGATATTTTTTTATATTGCTGTAGTAATCTTTCGTTACTCAGACGTAAATTCCAATCAGCATAGTAAAAAACCAGACAGCACATTGACGTCCTTAGGAGATTCTACGGATATCCTAAATGGATATTCCGTAAGTTCCATGGATATTCGAAAAAGGTCTCAGACCTTCCTCAGAATATCTTGAGGAGGTGCAAATTTCCGCTTATTTATGATCCCCCGGACATCGTAAGGATAACCCATCATACATGTTATAGATATTTTATGTGTCTTTATTTAATTCGATAAAAAATGTCATCGCGCTTCAGACACGTTGTATTAAAATTAATTTTTTTAAGTATAAACATACATTTATAAATATATGTATATTTGTTCAATAATCACAATACAGAATAGTATAAAAATATTTTTCTAGATTGAAATTTCTATGAGTTACAATTTCTCGTATATATATACATATATAATCTGACTGTATAAATGTATAAATAAATAATTATGGAAAAAATATACCGTCCATGATGTAGTGGATACTGGACTGCGTCGCTAAATATATATATATATATATATATATATATACATATCTATATAATTTTTTATATATCTTAAGATGTGTTTACAAAGACTGATAATAGATGTTTGACCTAATTGGATAAGATACACTCTTTATCCCAATCAACAGGGATTACCGGTTTCAAAATCTTTATTAAATTGTCAAGTAAGCACGGATCTTCACATCCTGGAATACTCATTCGATGCGGTTCCATTGTCTGTGTACTGTTTAAGTATAATACCTTTAGAATAATAGCAGAATATTTCAGTTATAAGTTCTTTAAGGATTTTAACAGATTCTAATGAATATTAAAAATAATTATTAAAGTTGTTTTACCTTCACTTCATGACTTTGTCCACCATTGACTAAGTGCAACTCAAAAATAAGAGCTGCTCCGTAATCGGGTTTAAATAATTCATTAGTAAATCCCATTGTTCTTAGTACATTGACTAACGTTATATCATGTGCTGAATATAAGTACAATTTCCTCCAATTATCTTTGGTACGCGTTTCCATCATGTGCTCTAAAATCTCCTTGAGTAATGGTCCTAAAATTGATCGAAACGATATTATTAATTATTCGTCAATTAATATTAGAATGCAAACAGTCAATTACATATATCAATTACCTCCTCGAAGACGTTGCTGTAACGTATTACTTGTAAAAATTGCAAGACTACGAGCAGCGATTTCCTTCATTTTATCGTTATAAAATTTTTGTGTCCACTCGGGTAGTGTAAGCTTATTTAAATCCTAATAAGCAAATAGATTGTATCTTAGTATTTCTTTCATTTTTATGTACCTCCGATTATTTTGATTTTTAAATCCTCCGTTATAATATTACCTCGATTTCCAGTGTATTATATAAGAATTCTACGTCAGTTATGTCAGATATCTTTTTTCCCGTGTAATTCGACAATTCTGCGTAATACGATTGTAGGTCTGTTTGCTTCGTATCATTTTGGTACGCTTCCTTTAGAGCTTCATCCAATCGTGGGCAAGGTGCCTTAACGACAATCGTCTTGAGAAAAGTAATATTGTATATGTTAAAAATAAGTTTCCAGACACTTAAAAATTTGACAATAAGAATTAATAGTAAAATACTTTATCCAATTCTCTAGGCGTGCTGTGAACCGGAACTGGAAGCCATGGTAATCCGGGAAGAAACGTTTCCTCCGGATCTGGAGGAAAAAGTCCTGCCAGCAATGCTTGGGCAGACATTATACACCGATCAGCATAACTACTCTGTACGTGTGAGGTAGAGCTGTTATAAGACTTTCCAATGAGCCATCCATAGACGTCGCGTATCCATTTTCCCAAATTGTACATCTGTAGCATTCCTTTCTGTGGGATAATTTTTTTTAATTTTATAAAATTCGAGTATCACTGCACAGGAGTAGTAGTACTACATGAAATGACAAACCTTGGTCAAAGCTCCCCAACCATCTGGCCATTTGTAATGCAGGTAAGGATCGTTTGGATAAGTTTCCGTAGGTGTTCGATAACCGTGGCGAAATATCTATTAAAAAAAATACAAAAAATTTGTAAATAAAAAGCATTGTGTTATCATTCTTAAGCAGAAATCTACTTGACCGACAGCAGGTAACGCGGCTCGAATTTCGTTAAGTAGGACCCAACTCCACACGGGCTATTGCTATAAGAGTTAACCGTGTAGAATTATTGTGCAGTAAAATACTTACAATGGTAACCTGTGCTAAAGTAGCATTTCTATGACTCGTACTAGCAAATGCCGTATAACCCAAAAGAGCGCATCCTATAAAAATACCAAGAACGACGACAGTTACGCAAATACCACGCTTTCCTTTTCGACAGTTATCCGCCAAGAAACCTTTGGCACGATCCATTCTTCTGTAAAATGCAAGCAAAGGATTAAACTCGAAAATATTCTCACAAAAAAAAGGGGGTAATAAAGTTTTATACCATAAGACATATATTTAAAGTTACATAAGCGTAGCTATTCGAATTTACATGGAAATTTTCAAAGAATATCATTCTGTCATTATTGACACAACAAACGTCAATCGAATGTCAATAAAATGGTTTCAATCCGAGTATCAAAAAAACGAAACCACAATACTCGAAATTAAATGAAATAAAATTAAAAATGTCGAGAATTCCGTACGATCGATAGACACGAGTCTGAGTCGCATATTTATTGCGTCGCACGTTCGTTTGTAAACGCCATTTCATAAGTGACAATATTTAACAAGACGTAAGATGATTAACTCTTACTTACATAAGTGACACGCAGCCCACCTGAATCGTCTAATAGTATATAATTAATTAACCTGCTGATTAAGCGGGTTCACAGGTGGAGCGAAGAGAAGATCAGAAACTACCGCGTTGCTTTCAATTGGTTAGCGGCAACGATTTCAAGCATTGAGCACGCGCTTTGAAGGAAACAGACCTTATGGACAGGTTCTGACTACCTAACTAGCAGCGATGGGTATGCCGCGCATAGTCATGATTCTTCTCGTAGGTGACCCTAATGCTTCTCAGGAACGTATCTATGATTACCAAGTGCCCATACCAGGTACTAGTCCCGCATTTATACGTCACTTGTATCAAATGTAAATATATCTCCACTGACTGTACTGCATTGTGCTGCGTGCTGACAATTAACCCGTGTAAATATACTGCTCAGAGATAGCGCTGTAGTAAATATATCTAGAGAATCCAGAGAGACTCCATACATGACTCGTGATTATTTTAATTATTTGTTTTACAATTAAATCTATTATAAAAAGAATAATAAGACATTACTAAAATTTTTATTTCTATTGTAAGACCTTATGTTAATCGCGACTTACGTTTCTTCTAGATCTTCATACTCCCATCTTGATAATACAGATATCATTTGTAATTTCTTCACGGAACTTTCCACTACTTCTACTTATACACGGAGTAACGTTAAGATACGACTGACTTTTCTCTCCAAAAAATTCTTTCTTCAGTCATGAGCTTGCATTATTTGAAACACGAGACTCCATTTGTGGTTCACTTCACGCGATACGTTCTGTTTACTCTCAACTGTAAGCCGTATCAAAAAATATTTTAACGTAAACCCAATTATAATTTATGTCAATGAGTTCGATACGTTAATTAAAAATTATTGTAAAATCTATTAAACGCTCGTTCAAAACAAATATATCGTTCTTAACGGTTTACGTGTAATTATGTTAAAGGAGGTTTCACAATGAAGAACATACTTATGCCACTGGGTTAAAGTAACATTTATTCAAGGGAATAGGAGACGAAATTCCTTTATGATACATAGAGCATAAGTGTCGAGACACACCGTTCACACTGACTATTTCTTTATCGATAATCAATCAAATATAACCAATCAAATTTATCTCTAATCTTCTCATTCTAATGATGCTCCACAAAGAACAGAGTCCCAAGAGGATAAAAGTCAGCTGTTTGTCAAGTGACATCCAACCGCTTCGGTTAATGTTTAGATACGATATCAAATACGGCAACCGAAAGCGTTCTTAAAGCGTATTTCTAGGTACAATTATGCGTTATACATATTGTAGAATAATTTGTTTTTAACATTAAGAGGAAACAGACAGACAGACAAGAAGACTCATCAATGTCAATACTATTATATTCTTTGGCATGTCGGTAAGATTCTAAGAGCTAGTATAGACATTAAAAGTTTTTAATGACAAAAGTAATATTAATAACAACAATAATAGAAACGCAAACGACGTAAGTCTAAAGGATTTTTGAACTAAAGTTTACAATTGAGGTACACGACTGACTAGAATAGTAGTTCGAGATTTAATCAAGACGTATCGAGAACCGATTGGCTCACTCTCAGTACTCAGAAGGGAGACTGAAAAGATATCCGACTCCCTGGAGAAGCTCCTCCATCAAATAGAAGAGACCCTCAAAGTTTACTTTTCGAAAAACAATCGGTAGACGAAAGTATCGTGAGGAATGAAGGAGACGAAAAGAAAAAAAATTATAGATAGATACATGTAAGGCTAGGGGAAATACATTGCTTTTTTTTTCTAGTTCTACGCCAAAAAAAAAATAAGGAGAGGTAAGACCGATTTTAAGATTTTCAGATCAATCGATTAGGATACGTCAAATGTAAGTATAGAGGAGGGAGGAACAGCTTTTGGCTAAAGAAGTCCGAAAGAGCCCTGAAGCGAATCGGTTTTCTTTCATTTCATATCTTTTTTTTTTCTTTTTTGCTTTCTGCTTCCTCTTTGCCTCCGGATTATAATTGTAATACGTAAAATCAAGAGAGTGGATCTTTTGGATTGGTGTGGTTAGATAATTTTAGCTAGACTTTTGCGAACGGCGTCTACGCTTGTTCGGATCGGCGCCTCCTTCCTGGTCCCCCGGCGTAATTTGCAGCTGCCAGACCCATCAGATGCTTCGCTGCTTGAGAGCCACTGAATCCACGACTGATACCAAAGTCCAGTCCACGTTTGGTACTGAAAATTTTATCAATTTATTTTTTTATTATTTTTTTTTTACCACTGTCTTTGAGCTATTATTTTTTATTTTGACTTCCGCTCACTTCTCAAGCTCGTGGGTACGAATGATGCTCTGTCCAAGTCGTGCCAGCATCTCCAGCATCATTTCCGGATCCTCGTCCTCAAGTTGGTTCCAGTAGCTTTGAGGTCTGACATAGATAGTAAATTATTTTAACAATTACGTTATTATTTGACTGTAGGTTTCTAGATGGTTACTTTGAATTATAATGATAAATGACGTAATTCCCTCAGAGATGTAACAATTAGTTTGTATAATCCAATTCCGTATAGTCGTACGCATGAGATAATAACAATGATAACGAATAAGATTAATTCTGAGTCTTAGGAGCAGAATTACGCACCGTGACGAATCTTTAGGGACAAACGTACAATTCTGTGAATTGATAATAATATTATACCTACGTATTTTAGTTCGATAACCCACGAGTGATATAAATAAAAAAAAAGAGTGCTAACAATGTATCTATATTTATGAATCCTGTCAAACTATCCCGAGGCTTTATCCAACAAAGCACCATATAATATTTCACATTTCTTTTTAAGGCTCAAACCCAAAGGTAGCGTCAAAATATTTTCTTTGTCCAGAATCCACCATCTTCATTTTTGTCACTCGAAACGTGTAACGTAATAAAGAAAAATACGAGACTGTATTAATTATCATTTTTTGTCTAGATGAAAAAGTAGTTGAAAAAAATTTCATATCTCCCGCCAAGACGATAGCATCGTAACCTTTATACGTTAAAATTCAAAAAGTAATCTCACCAACCTTATAACCACTTCTAACCTTATCCACTTGACATTAAATAGCCAATGAGTGTGTCCGTACTCTAAGTATCCACTTTAGTAGAAAAATATCGACTAGACTTATCCCTCTGATTTAAAAGCTTCGTCCATTTTACGATCTTCGGGTCCTCCACAGGAGTAGCCTTAAGTTCTAGCCACGGCGCACCAAGACGGTACTACAGCGAACAAGGTTAAACACTTTCATGGGGATAGGCCTTTCTCTTCGTGCAAGCCCTACGTAGCGGCAGAATATTATACTATACCCCAAACAATCATAAAATACAAAAGTAACCCTCATCACATGCGTACCTAACCTACAAAAGTCTAACATATATTTCTTTATATTTCCCCCTCATTTACCTCAGGCTCTATTTATTCTTTGGTCCAGTACAAATATGTACCCACCGTCCAAATCAAATCCTGTTCTCAACGTACCAGCGACGCATTCACAAAATGGAAACTAGGTTAAATTGCCCAACGCGAGCGGCAGATACGTCTCTTTCACTCGTTACCGGTCGAGTCCCGACTACTACCGCGCGTCATATACTGCTAGCATGGTAATTCCTGTGTGTGCCAACCTATCGTGATTTCCATTAGCAAAATTAATTTTCTCACTTTACAGCGCACCGAAACTTTAACGAATCCATTTGCAGGACCCCATACGAAATTTCAAACGAGCTATCATCATAGTTCTGTATCATGACTATAGACCAGATAGAGTTGTGACCAACCATTAGGATTTACTTGTACGGTATAAAAGGATTAATGGAATTACGTAATGTTGCATAACCAAAAAAAAAAAAATAATAATTTTATCGAAAACAAAGAATTCAATGAAAATCGCATTTTATATATATTCATTTTAACACACGTGTATGGGGCTGCTTCGGCCGGGGTTGAAAGTGCGATAATGGCTACGGCAGCCAGCAGCATCCACGACAGTGCAATTTTTCTCTGCATGATGAAGAGACCTCTTGTTATGGTAACCTGAAATCATAAAACATTTTTTTACATGCAAATTTTTTTTTTAATTCCCTTCTACACGTACATAAACTGTATTACGAGATTAATGCGTTATCTGCACTTTATTTTTGCTAATATCAAAATGCAATTTCATTAGCGATAATGGTGGTTGTTACGATCAGCTGAATTTATGCATTTCCTTCTTTTCTTCTCTCTCCTACGCAATACCTACCAGAAATTTCTATTTATCGTCGCAGAACTTCAACGTGGTATCACATAATTAGTGCATCTAACGAAACTCTATTCCGCCTCTAATACAAATGACCAAAATGCATTTGGAATCAGGGCGATGAATTTTGGTGTGATTGGAAAATTATTTTTTTTATTATGCACCAGGATACTTTTTTTTTATAAAGCCTCTTATTGCTCTCTTTGCATAGAATTTTTTCAAACGAAAAGTTAGGTTATGTTAGGTCAGGCACGTGCTCTCGTATTACCTTTTTCTCATTCCTACCAATCAGAGACACCGTTCATTTGCATAGCCGTGACCAGCTTTGAGGTTATATTTTCCAATGTCGACGTCTTGCCAGAAACCTATTGTTTCAGTTGTATATACCTATCTAGATTGGAATGATTATGAATACTCATTAGGATACCGTGATATTCTCTTATAGACTGACGCAAGTTGACTCCATGTGTATTAATCCAGTCTCCCTTAAGGATTCCTTGGGGCGACTGTCTGCTTGCCATACAAAGTTATCAACTTCAGGCGTTATCAGTTGTTCGCGTAACTGTACAATCAGCTGTTTAATTTTGTTAACCTCTTAGCCCCTTGGGTCGATTAAGAATTTTGATAAAAGTAAAAAAATGACAATTTCAAAAAAAGATTACATTTTTTTTGTTATTCCTTGAATTTTATTTCTCAATCGCTGATAATTAGTTTTACAATTTTTTTTCATAATTTTCATTTCCGTATTCTTCGTAAATACTCTAATCATTGGTCCATTAAAATTCTAAGGTTGTATCAATGAATTTAGTTAATGCTTTTATCATAAATAACTCTACGTAGGCAATTGGATAGATACTCCTGAAAGACAATATAGAAAATTGTCATTTAATAGAATTCAAGAGATTTATTCGTGAGGATGTTTTTTTTCTTTTATTTTTCCAGATTCCATCATAAAATAATACTGGAAATTAGACGAATTTTTATACGCGCCATTGGTATACCTAACGCAATATACAAATTTGATTCGCTGTAGCTCTTTGAGCCTTCGACATTCGCAAGAATTTTCATTCTATGATTCCCATTGGGATTTGTCTTTCGTTTTATAAGATTCATTCAAGCGCGAAAACAATTCACGATGGGTTAAGTTAAATTGGACGAGACGATGGCGACGATTTTAAACACTTACATGAATCCCACATCCATATCTCATTCCATATCTGACATACTTTAAACTACCTTTCGATTATCCCTCGTATAAAAAATTTGAACTTCAAACCCGAAAACGCATTAAAGATCGATGGTTGCATATTTGTTGATCAATTGAAAAATTTCATAAATTTTGTCTCACATTTTATACCTTTTTCACGAAAAAAAAAAAATAATTCGAAAGTCTGTTATTTATCTGATAATACACGTATACAATATTGCATAAACGTTTCCTGGGATTAATGAACGTTCGAAGACCCACAGATGCAAAAATCTTAATGCACCGAGCAACCCACTACACCTGACAGTATCTATATACATAAGATTTCATTCGAAACTGAAGTCCCGCAAACGCGTAAAGTTTATCGAAACTGGACATTCACATTATTACGGCTAATAATTCAGAAGCAAGTAACCGTATATTCGTGTCGAGTATAATATTAACGTTTAACTAGGGCACTCAGCTTAATTCGTGCCCGTATCAAACTTCTGCAGTAAACTTCCTCGTGATTTATTAGATCTATTTAATACGCAAACTGAGTGACTGACTGACGATAATCCGTAATAGTTAACTAACCCTTAACTAATGACGCAAGAGGGTTGATTTTCCATGTTGACCGATCCCGACGGAGTCTGCGCACTTGTTCCAATAATATATTCAAGAAAATTAAACGATATATAGATATATACGTATCTTACGAGATTTATAGGGATGAAGTATCGATAGCTTTTTGATATAAGGATCGATATGAATTTCAATTTGTAATTAGGTATCTATATACATAAGCATTAAAAGATTTGTTTACAACAAAAAAAAAAAATTTTTTTTTCAGAAATTCCCACCGTATAGGATCCAATCTTACCTGTTTCTTGCTACTACCCAGTTGCCTATCTACGTGTACATTTTACAATAATATATTCAAGAAAATTAAACGATATATAGATATACGTATCTAACAAAATTTATAGGGATGAAGTATAGATAGCTTTTTGATATAAGGATGGATATGAATTTCAATTTGTAATTAGGTATCTATATACATAAGCATTAAGAGATTTGTTTACAAAAAAAAAAAAAAATTTTTTTTTCAGAAATTCCCACCGTATAGGATCCAATCTTACCTGTTTCTTGCTACTACCCAGTTGCCTATCTACGTGTACATTTTCTTTGTCTTGGTTTATGCTCTAATTATCAATCACAGTGTACTTTCGAATCTCGAGGCAATCTCTCTCTTTTACAAAGTACCACCAACAATCGGCTGTACGGTATAATGATAGAGGGCTGAAATAAAGGGAAATTAAATAATGAAAAACTCCCGCTTCTTCTCTGCAACTTATTAACGAACGTTTAATTATCTTACTCGTTTTTTGCTACTACCCAGTTGCCTATCTACGTGTACATTTTCTTTGTCTTGGTTTATGCTCTAATTATCAATCACAGTGTACTTTCGAATCTCGAGGCAATCTCTCTCTTTTACAAAGTACCACCAACAATCGGCTGTACGGTATAATGATAGAGGGCTGAAATAAAGGGAAATTAAATAATGAAAAACTCCCGCTTCTTCTCTGCAACTTATTAACGAACGTTTAATTGAGTTCTCATTCGAATCTCGAGGATTCTTATTCGTTAATGAAGTTCAAGACACTTGTCAACTCGTCTGTTTCAAAAATTCACTCTCGCTTATCACTCTAGGTACAGTATCGTACAAAAGTAAGTTTCATGTCGATTGATGCCGTTGCTCCACTTATTTGTCATAGAACAAAATATATTGGGCTGATGCGATCACAGTAATATGAATAATGTAACAGGGACGGATACCCTTAATTTCGATCCGGTCGTCATATCGATTTTTCGATTTGCTTCTACGCATTAAATTCCAATAGAGTCGGAAATTATTATTGAAATCGATACATTATTAGTGTCTTGTTTAATATATATATTGCGATCTAAAAAAAGGGTCTAAAAAATTTGCACAAAGCAAATTTGACTACTACGAGAAGTTTACGCGGAGTTAACGTCGATATAAATTTAATCGATGTTTTTTTATAAAAAGATCGTGTATTCGTATCCTATACGGGCATAGGCGTTGAGTGGCCAAATGCTGCCAATTATTATCTCATCCGGTCAATCCCCAGCATAAACTCCCTGTAATCCCGTAAACGTTATCATGCCTGTATACGCGTATCGCTACTACTGGCAGATGTTTTATTATTTACCGCCTGATCGAAATATGAGTGCTTGGTCAGGCTACACGTAAAGTCAAGGGTCATTGATCGGTGGATGTGTCTGGCGATAATTAAAAAAAGACACCGACTTATCGCCCCTCCATCTTTCTGAATATCGCCGACGCTTGAAAATGCTATTTTGTCTGTTTTTTTTTTTTCATCGCGTAAAACTCCCTTGAACACGTCCCACAATGCTGTGGTGTTTTCCATCCTTTTTAGGTTAGACACTGGTTGGTAGGCGCCTCCGGGCAAATCGTACTTCTCGACGACTCCCGTAAGCCACCCTTCAGGAGGAAATGTATTCGCATTTCTGTTGGACGAGCGGGAGACTCCTGTCGAAATGAATGAAACATCAGGATGATCCTCGCGTCGTACGTGAAAAAGAAAGAAAAAAGGAAAAAATGGGAAAATATATTGCAGAGAAGTAACAAGATTGCATAATGCAACCCCACGCGTAATACTACACTGCATAGCTTTCGTGCATGTCCTGCTGCTCTATGTGTTTTGCATAAAAGCTTTAAGTAAGAAATTTCATACCTAATCGAGCATAGATCGGGTATTTCGAGTCGTCAAAATTATTATGAGAATCCTCCTACGTAGAGAGTCCACAAGGATTTGGAAATTTTTCATTTTATTAATTTATGAAAAAAAAAAAGAAAATTGAAAAAAGAACAATACTCCTCCAGTACATCCTTCCGTAGTGACACGTGAGACACTGGCAAAAGTTTAAACCGGTCCAGACATCCGGCAACTTCCCGAGTCTGAAATGAAAGCGGTCACGGGCAATTCAAAGTCGCAGGAAAATTCTAACTGAACCAGACAATGGCTGTTCCACGATGCCGGGAAAGTTGCTCCATTCGCGAGCCCACTAACAAACCATTCAACTTGTGGCCACGAGGACGTCGGCGTTAAGAGTGTTGCTGTGGCCCATAAAACGGTGGGGCGCTTGCATACGTATGTACACGTGCATTTACACGTGTATCCTATAGTTAAGTACGACCCTAGGGAAACGCGTACAAATAAAGCATTCTCATTTTGAACGGAGGCATACAAAATAGGGAGATATGAGAATCAAACACTTTCAGTATATACAGCTATACCAGTTACATAGAAGCACAGTTTTCAGTTTTTAAGCGACCTGTACAATAGTAATAAAATATAAAATTGTTCACGTACAAATAAAAGTTAATGAGATATTTCATAATTATTCCCACTTTGTTCATCTTTTTTAGATAAACTTTTTTTAAATTTTTATTCACTTTTTATATAGTATATATATATATATGCATGCATTGGAATATAAATCCAAATTTTGTTGTGAAAGATAAAAATTGATAAGCCTTCGCGATACGGAAAGAAAAGG